ACTTGAAATCCTACATCCTCCACCGGTGTAGGTATGTTTACACGATTTTCACCATCATATCTTCCTCTCGGTGTGCTTAGGTACCTCTTACTCGAGCTTGTATGCTCCAAGTTTGGAACCAAGCAAACGGCCTGCAAAGCCACATTCAAACCTTATACATTAGTGCGGCTCGCTTCTAAGTCGGACTATGGGAATTACTTGGCATATGCACGTCATGATCGATGGAGTTACTAAGCAGCAAGCTTGATAACATCATATTATATTTTGCGAATAAAATAATAGCATATAAGTTCAGTCCATGGATACTGATCCCCTTTATTACCTCCCCGAGATGCGGTTCAGCTACAACCTAGACATGGGTTTCGTATACGTAGAAAACATAACCCTCTTATAGACGTATATCTCCCTCTCCGAAAAATGTCCGTATTCATCGGAGAATATTCCACGCAATAAGACAGGACGGCTAGCTGGCTTAGTGTAGGCGAGTTTTCTTGGCAGAGGACGGAGGCGCCCCTAACGGAGTATTATAGAGATCCTATGCAAGGCCAGCATCAAACCGGACAATTGTGCATATGTGGACATACATACATGATGCTATCCGATGAAAGAGGTATTCGCCCCTTACCATGTTGGTATCTGATCTTCCCCGTATTTACTTGTTCGTAAATTTCCTTTCTGCGAACCGAGCCGGAATATATATAGCAAGAGTTAAAACGAGACAAAGCTCGTTTCCGATATCGCCGCCAGCGTCACCGATCAGTCTTGCGGCAACGCCGGTGTACCAAGTCGTAGACATACCTATAACAGCTACGAGTAGAGTTAGTAACAAGCTGCCATCGAATAGAGTAAGCTCAGCACGTTACCTCCAATTATCCCGCATGCGAAAGCAAGACCCCCGGCGTATCCAACAGGCAGCATACTGCGATTATTCCAATTATCCAAGTTGTAGTTTTTGAATGAGCCGCGGCGAAAGAAATAGTGCTCGGTTACCAAGCAAACGAAGACGGCGGTAGCATAATAACCTAATAAACTGAGGAAATTCTGTATGAATACCAGAAGCCGATCGCTGCCAGCTAGACCCAAAGCGATGACTGCAGCAAAACAGATAATTTCCCAAACGAACCTCGGTACTGCAGCTAAGCTATGAGATGCCTGCTGAATCGAAAGGCCTGCACTATACATTGATCCGCAATTCAAGCCGACGGCCGCGAACATCAGCAGGAAGAGGATTGCTTTTGCTAATCCATACGGGTGTATCATAGTCTGAATCAAGAACCCGACTCCAACTTCGTATTGTTCGTTCCATTCTTGATTGTTGTGTAAGGCAGACGCAGCAATGGCCCCAGCTACAGCACAGAGACAAGTAGAAACGACTAATATCGGTTAATAATCATGATGACTGTTGATTAGCGAAGGAGATTTAACGATCGAACTTACAAAGACCACAAAACGTCAGCAAGAAGATCGCAGTCTTTGCGATAGTCGCCGGATATTCGACATAGAAGTCTGATACATAGCCTATCATACGGGGTATTTAGTAACTGTTTGTGTATATCTCTCATAGATCTCTCATAGATCTCATATTAATTGCGTCAGGGAAAAATCACCCACCCGCACAACATGCACTGGAGCCGTACATTACGCTGAAAAACGTCAATGCCGCTCCGGAGTTCGAAGCTCCACGAGTAGACGGTGGAGCGCTGAGGTCTCCAAATCTACCGATTTCCGCAAGGATGATTAAGAAGATAGCCAGGAATACAAGCCAAGCGAACTTCTCAAATGTATACACCGCTTTCAGGCCGAAGAATGAGAATATTAAGCTCATTATGCTGACTATAACGACGCCAAGCTGGGAACCAACCTTGCCGTCTGAAAATGCGGAAAGTGCTTGTCCTCCTGTGATTGACCCGGAAGCGCACCACCCGATCTCCTGGATAACATTGAATATCGCGATGACTTTGGACGGGTACCAACCGAGAGAATATCGGCAGATCGAGACTTGACGAAGGCCTGTCGGTGGTCCCATTGTTGCACACCAGCTCTACTAAGCGTTAGAATTTGTTGAGCTCGTAACAGAGGAGACTCACCGTAATTACACCACCCGCGACAGAGCCAAATATAATGACCAAAATGCTTTGCCGGAGGTCTAGACCCAACTCCCATCCTATGAAGCCAGTCGCGAAGGAACCGAGATTCATGCAACCGCCTACCCAGAAGCTCACTATAGCCTAGAATTGGATCAACATTCTGAGATGTTCCTCTGCTGTTCGTGTCCAAGATCTAGACTCGGGGACACTAACCAACTGGCCCGACCATCGAGCATAAAAGGGGTTCCTATTATCGGGCAGTTTGCGTTCGATGCTATGTGATTCAACCCCTAGCTTACGATCAAGTGCGTCCTCGTAGCTTCGCAGCTTAGCTAGGAAACCCGTCTTTTGTACAGGTATCGGAGTCTCTTGGCTAGAAGTATCAACCTCGATTCCCACAACTTGTGGTACATTCTTCTCTTCGTCGTCCGTGATACGAGCCATATTTTGTGTACTTTAACTGTGCTGCTAGGTCGATATGCAGAGGAAAAGGGAGTGAGATCCTCAGCATCTTAAACCCCTTCGGATACGGGCAACCAGAAATACAAATAGGTCGACCTCGACACACTACTAATGCGACCTTCCACCCCTTCAACACGCGTCAATACTACATGCCCCAGATAAGCAGCGAGACATTACGGCGAATATTGTGGCACGAGGTGCTTTAGATCTAGGTATAGCTCGGGTCCCTGCCCTGCCCGAGTGGCGAGCTGCAGTTCCGGCAAGACAGGTGCGCATCTCGGAGCAGGGAAAAAGCATGTATCGATATTAATACCATCTATATCAGCACGTATTCTACTATCCAGACATGATATGATATCCCCTTCGATCATCGCTACGACTGCGGTCATCATTGATAAAGCACCCGTCCCGCCAGTAACACGCACAGGTAAGCACAGATATGGGGGGTGACGTTATACAAGCTTGCCTTTCTTCGCACGAATACTGGATTCGGAGCTAACGTATGTACGTTTTGGAGCTTGATGTACGACCCCGTCTAATATTCGATCGGTCGGCGTTTAGCCGCGCGAGGAATGCAAGCGTTTCTCGCTGAGACATTGGCGGGAGCCCGACCACCCCCCCAAGGCGCCGATACTTGGACTGTGCGACGCTAGATCCGGCTACTATTCGACAGGCGCGAAATGGGTTGGTCGTACAAGAGGTAAGATTCTTTTCTAGACCTGGCTTCGCTCAAGGCGGTATCTCGGCTGGCGCCGCGGACGCCGGGGTACACAGCAGTCCTACAGCGCAAAATGCTACACGAATCAGAGTACGGTGATATTTGCACAACTATATTGCCCTTCCCATCTTAAACACTGATCTACCTCATATGTGCGTAAGATTTGGTTCCAGGAATAGAGAAAGGTTGGAAACAGGGTAGCAGTTTTTAATGATGGGTATCTCCTTAAATGCGACAAGACCTTATCAAACCTCCTACTAGAAGGGATGGCAGGGTGGCTAGTTGATGATGGTTAATAATTGGTGGATGTTCAGCATTTACTTGGCGAAGAATGCTGTAAGACGGCTGTTAGTGGGGATTGGCGTAAGGAGTGCCTAGATGCATATGCCTGGCGTCTTGGCACTCGACAATAACCCCGAACATTAATTCCATTCACGACTAATTTCCTTGTTTAAGGAAAGAATTATTCAATAAGCATAAGCAAGTATGTTTAATTTCATGGAATGCATCGGTGTGCAAATTTATTGCCTGGTAGGTAGATTAATACCATGGAATAACTCTGTTGAGAAACTACTGTCATGACAGCGATTATACGGGTGACACAGGGACAGGACGGATCATTTTAATGGGTTCCTAATAAACTACAGGGAGCTTAACTTCTAGCCAATCAAACCTCAGATACAGACTTTGACTTACCCTTAAAGGAAAGTCACTCATTATCTGAGCCAATCACATGTTCCGACGACTTTAAGAGGTTAGCTCCAGATCTTAGAAATCGGAGTATTTTCAATATGTACAATAATGTTAGTATGGTTGAAATCTTATTCCTAGCCACACTTAGCCTCTTTTACAAAATATTATTAAGTTCTGCCCCCTAACATGGGCGAATTATCATGACTATCGAAACATAAACCTGTTGGGAGACTGTATCTGGGTAACAACTGATATTCTTGCGTATGCCGTGGTAGATTTGGGCAGGCATTAAAATCAGTTAGTTACAGGCGAACCGAAAAGGTTTGAACGATACTGGGTAGGTAAGTTCTCTCTGATAAATCACAATAGCCTCGTTTGGCCGTGCGTGACTAGGTAGGTACCTATACTAGGTATTTCTTCTAGATGCTTGATTACTGCACGTACCAAAGGTTTTACTCGGCCATAAAACTTACCTAACCTAAGGGTTTCTTGCGTCGCTCCTGCCAACAAAGGTCAAACACTAGGGGAGCCTATCTTTATTTGACTTATAAAGCCACGCTTAGCTACAAACCAAACTATACCAGCGATTGGGCCATCTTCGGATCAAGTCAAGCTATAAACTACCTTGCAGAACGTCGATACTAATAGCACGCTATTAATCGCATCATTCACCCCATCATCAATACAACCAATTCACGGCTTCGACAGACCATCATTTGATAATGCCGCCCACGACGTTCCACCACTTCTCCCTACTACCAAGGGAACTTAGAGATCAGATATGGGATGCAGCAATTCGACCAGATGTCCCATCAGTCCATTTCTTCTCAGCTTGGTACGGAACATATAGACCAGACCCATCAACTATGGTTAAATACGCAGTGGCCGGTCGAAGGAAGCATCCCGACAATCTATGCAGCCTAGCCGCTCCACGCTGCAACAGAGCGGAACCGGATCGCCTATCTTGGTTTAAAAACAATCCTTCGGTATATATAGAAGATAGCGGGCTATGGACAGCTTGTAAAGAATCCCGAGAAGCAATGATCAGTCGCTTTGGAAACCACAAGATCACTTACCAGGAACAACGAGACGAGTTGTCCTTGGCAGAGTACCTAGAGCTGATCAAGGAAGCCAACGACGCACCTACTACAGGCACCATGGTACAAGACGGGAAAAGGCAGTACTTTACCGTCTGTCCGAAAACTGATTTATTTTGCTTGCAGCCTTTCGTTGAATGTGGACACTGGGAGGAATTTGAGAAGAATATGCCGATATTCAACAAGCTAGGATCACCTGAACCACATATTGCTCTTGAGTTTGATCCCATGTGGATCAACCCTCAAACTGATGAGCAATGGTCCATGTACAACCTCGCCTTCGAAGCGACCACCGGGGCGCTTGGAAGATGGGCTAGCAAGCTGTGGTTTATCGACTACCGCATACGTCCCAATCTCGACAGTAAGCATAATATTTTACAGAATATTTACAAGCAGACAGTCTTCCGAGGTAAAGGTTGCAAATACATTAAGGTCATATCGACACGAGATAAGTACACATGGATTTGGGATAGTTAAGGAAGATTGGGTCTGGGGTTATGATAAACCTGAGAATTCGATATATGAATTCCTACATACAATACAAGATAGACAAGCGGAATACGCCATGTATATGGGATATATTGACCCTTGGGAGGAACCCTTTATAGATAAACCGCTCTGGGACGCACCTGATCTTAGCGTGTTAGCATGCATACCAGAATAATCGGCCTCAACAACAGTTCAGGCACAGGAGCCAACCCTCCGGGGCTGCACAATAGTCCGAGTTTATTGCTATTATACGGCTAAACACATTGAACTCCTCGATGCTATCCACACCTTGAATACCTAGCACCCTTGGCACTCTCGAGAACAGTATCCTCAGCACCTTCATCTACGGCTTAGTACTTTGAAATTTTAGGAAGAAAAAATATATATATATATTTCGAAAAACGTAGTCTGAGACAATAAACCTTAAAAATTCAGGAAAACTCGACGTAATAATCACTCATAAAGTCGGCCGAAGCCAGTACAAACCTGGGAAATACACAGGAAAATATACAGGAGATCACCCTTTAAGCAACATAGAACCCCAGGACCTAGAGCTTACTTATTCACATCTACCTTGCCAAAGTCCGGCTACAAGCGCCTGATTTAAATAGGTTCGAATTCCTTTGTGGCCACTTAGCTAAAACGGTCCGACTTAGATTGGTCCTTTGGGCATTGTCGGGTTCTTACAACAGTAGTTACGACTCATTATAAGAAGGCATAACTATATCGGATGATACCCTAGCTCTTTCCCCCTCGAGGGGTATGCTAAACTATGCTACGAAGAACATGTAACTAGTCGAACAAGTTTAGGTAGTTACCTTATGTAGGTAAGTTTTATAATACATACATGTACATAGGTGGGTACCTGACGTAATAACAGTTGAAAAGTTCAAAAATGACATACTTGTACCTGCCTAAACCTAAGTAGAGGTAGGCAAGAGTAAGTGTGGTTCAATGGTAAGTCTGTTTGTCCGAAACTTCGCTAAACAGGAACTTAAATAAAATTTCCCTTTCATCCACATCTCAAATCGCCATTCTACACAGGTGGGTACCCCTGTGGGCTGTCACAATAGCTCGAATTTATTGCTATTATACAGCTGAATATATTGAACACTTTGAATATCTTCAATACCCTCACCCACAACTCGGCACCCACATCTAAAAGATGCGTTCAAAAAGCCGCACACAGACGAAGTTCCTATTTCGAAACAAGGAGCCTATGACAATAACCCTCATAAACTCGGGCACACAACTATCAGATTGACATATAAACCAGTGTAAGGGTATAAGTGGGTTAGGGGTAGCTACAGGGGCCTATCTACCACCTGATCTACCTACCTGACACTCACTCTGTGTGTGGCTACTATCAGGCATATAAACTATCTGATTACCAGATACCTCGAGTCATAGGTAATAACCATTAAATAACGAGTATTTGTACTTATACTTCTGCAATGGCTAATGCTCAAGTAGACAAAATAGGGTCATATGTGAGTGCCATGCTATTCTGTAACTATATGGTTACGGTTCCTCTTTCTAACATATACCCACCTATAGTCTCGTGGTGTAAGCGCATCGACAAATTCTATGTTATGGAGGATACCTTTTTCAAATTGTAATACTAACGTATCCATCTTCAAATCAGCACTCTAGCAGCCGTGTAAGTGTTCCTTATGTTAGGTAACCTATCTGGGAAATTGGCTTACTTTTGTGTAGCAAAGATACCAACACCCAGTAATATATTCTCGGATCCAGGGACAGCTCATGAAACCACTGAAATACTAACTGACATCCCAGGAAAACCGAGCGGCCCCGGTACCAACTCCCTAGCTGGCTGTCCAGCCAGAGGTATACAGCGTACTATTCTTAAAACACAAATTGCTAATTTTACCTATAGAAAGGGACAAAAGCCGTATGTTCATATATATCTAACCACCAATTCTTATATTGACCCCCCACCAGCGGTACGCCCAGGAGATTGACATAAACGAATCCCTTGCACCATAAAACCAAGTAACTAGTAACTAAACCTAGTTACTGGAAAAAGATGAAAGAATGTGTCGTAAGTATATAAGTGCCCACATGAAAGTATTTATCTCTTGGTGTCTATATACTAACCACTCACTATGAAGAATCTTTGGGGGAAGGTTGGAGTATGTTATTAGCTTTGTTCAATGTCGATCATGGCTAATGTTGAACCGTTCAAAAGCTGGAGGAGACGGTGAAGGTAATGAAAATGATGCAGCTTGAAATTCCTAATAATATTGCTGATGTTTTAACAGGGAATAGGGTATCCTCACCGAAGTGATGGTTATTACACCTTCTATTTTCGTCTCACTATATCTTAGTATATGCTAACAACAATTATAGGAGTTGGAAACCAAAATGGTCGTAAGAGATACCCTTAGAAAACCATGGTACATATGCTAATTTAAGGATAGGACGCGACTAATCAATCGGTTGGTGACACTATTCCTCTAACTTAACATATAAATACACTAACTTTGTTCTTTTCCGTAGCCGGAAATGATGAAGGTATCACGAGGGGGAACCAAACAGCATGGTGACAACAAAATTGTTCCGCAAAAAACTCTAAACTAGCTACGAGGGTCTACATCTATACATTAGGTACTGGACATGTCCTTTGTTCGAGATGTCTCGTCTAGAAGCCTGACAGAAGGTGGAGGTGAGCAGTCAAAATCCATTCTATATAGCGCAGTGAACTAAACGACTATCAGGTTGCCTTTAAAGAGCTTGTAATGTTTCTTTAATCCGTTAGATCATTGTATGGGTGCGGGCGCGTTTGGTGAAGTTGCTGTGTTTTGCGGCGACTATATGGGGGTAGAGGGTAGGAGCGGAGTATAAAATTTGCGGTAAAGTCCCGTACCAATCAACATATATTAGCCTTTGTGTTTTGGAGTTCCTATCGGGGTGTAAGTGGATAGGGATATCTAGCAAGGGTCTATCTACTATACAAAAGGCGCATAGCGTCCTTGCGAGAAGGTAGAAGCCGGCGTTACTAGATTAATACAACCCACTACTTGGCCTACCTATCCTAGACACTCACTCTGTGTATGACATCAATCAATTGGGTATAAACCCCCTAAAAGGAGGCTGTCGACGTATCACCGATCCATTGCTGGGGAAGAAGCGGGACTCTACCAGCCTTTATGTTAATACGGATAATCTCCGAGCCATCGCTTTCGACGCCATCAATCCACCAACTGTATCTTTTATCCCTCTTTCGCCCATTATCTAGCGCAAAAATATTTTAGGCAATAAACTCCATGAATATATCTTTTGTAGCTGCGATTCGAGAGGGTAGAGATAAGGTACGGTTTTGAATGTGCGATGTGATTTCGGGCTAGACGACGTATCTTAGCTATGAAGTAATATAAATGAACTTTAAGAAGTAGAGAGTAAATATTAGCCTCGTATGCTTTGTCATCTTTCCATTCCGTGCCCGTATCTTATTCATTATATACATGTTCGTCTCGTTGTCAGCGTTGAGTGTGGTGGTGGCGGCGGATGCAAGTATCCGGCGAAGCCAGTGTTTGCCTAAGCGAGCCGAGATGAACGTTATGAATGTGTCTACCTGACCAGAATGTTCGCTACCCAAAGCAGCTTCTTTCATCTCCTTTTTATAAGAGTGGCCGTCATAATAACGTTTTACGGGGGTGTCGATATCGTTCTCGATATGGATAACTTGATGTCGTCTATCATACAAGCGTCGGGCATCGAGAGGGTTGTCAAAATGTCGAGCGGTTACTAAGATCGTCGCACAAATGGGTATATGAAATAAACACTGTTATTAAACAACGACACCTAGCCCAATGTTGTTCTGGGTAGCGCCCATTGTAGCAGTATTGTTAGCCGCCATCTAGCCCGATAATATTTGTTAGTAGTGTCAAGAGTAGACGTTCTAAAAATATTAAGATAAGGTAGAGTTCTTTACAAATTCTTGTACTCCTGTTGATAGTGAATTGTAATTATCATACAGGATGGACTCCGGTAGATAATAATGCGTGTTCACTCTGCCCCTTGCAGATACTCAAATTATGGGTGCGCATTCCTTAACCATTCTTATGTAGGCATCAAATGAGTGGCTTAGCTAGTTACTAAAGGTATGGTGGTGTGGTTGCCTTAGGTGCCTGCCTATTTAAAAGATACAGGAGTGGCCCTACAGAAAAGAACTCTCCAATGGATAGGTACCTAGTAGATGAAACTGTTACTTTGATATGCATATGATACCTAAGCACTAAGTAATCTCTCATTATATTAGTAACTCTACCCGTCCTAAGTAGATAAAAATGAGAAACATTACTGGCCAGGAATTAAAAAAAAACCCAGCAACAATATTGCAATGCAACCATCTCCATGCAGCTTATTCCTCGGGGCAGATACGGTGGTAGTTCATACACACCAAACTTCTCTTTTCCGGGTTTTGAATGGTAATAAATGGTGCTCTACTGCTACTATTCGGTTCGATATCTACTTTGGTAGGTAAGCAACTACTGTTCGTATAAGTATATAAACCCTGATGGTCCGATGAGAAAGGAAATAGTAACCTCACTCATACACAATATTGCTTTTGATTATCATATAATGGGCAACACATGGGATCCGAGTCCTAACGGCCTATTTACCCGGAACTTATACCTGAGGTTTACCTCCGGGAATTATACCATGCTAAGCTATGAAATAAATTCCCAACATATGAAAGGAGTCTATAGCCCGTCCTTCGAATCAATTTGTTATTTCTTGTTCTCCACGGACGTTATTCGCAATGTAACTAAAGAAGAAAGTTATATTCTAGATTTACTCGAAATCTATCAAAGGTCTATTCGAGTGATACTAGGCTTTAGCAGGGGTAAAGCTACTTCCTTCAGAATAGAACCTTAAGGTTAAGTTGCTTATGTAGCCTAGAGGATCATACAAACCTCAGGCTTTGATACCGCCTGATTGGTGACCTCCTATCAATCACATTACATGACAATTACTTATTACAAAGCCTTTACTAGGACAAATATTTATAAGTCATATTTTATGGCTGAGTTGGTCGCGGCCGATACGTTGCGAACACGAGAGCCACGATTCAAAACATGACCTAGGTGGAATAATACTCTAACGTAAATTGTTCTAGCGGTGAAAACCAAATTCCCAGACACATTGCTCGTGCAACAACATAGTTTTCCACGAATGCCCCTCGACCCAGACATAAATACGTATACATCCTGCCTCGTAAGTGCCAGCATCTTAAACTTAAAACATATTCTACTCTCCCCATACTTCTATGAGAATACGAGAATATATCATAGCGTATTGCCTTCTATGAACGATGTCGCAAAGAGAGATTTTAGAAGGTAAGTTCTGAGCAATGATAACGCCCTCATATTGCGATATTATTCACAACTCAGTGTCACAATCACAGTTGACCGACGCCGCTCTCAAGATTAATATACAAGAAGACGATCGAGTTGGAGATATCGCACAACGTCTTGGGAACTTCTATGACCTCCAGGACGTCCTGAGCTTTGAAGGGATTCCTAACACCGACCCTGGTATATCTTTTATCCAGCGCAATACTACTCCGATAGTTCTCACGCTTGAAAATGGAGATGATAAATATCGTGTGAATATTGCCGATCAGACGCAGCCTGCCGATGCTAGTGGAATCAGCTTCAACGTTGCACTCAACGGTGCCTTCCAGGCCAATACAGGTGCAGGGCCGGGCCATTCGATAAGGCATAACGAAGCTAAAGATGAGGGCACTAGACAGGTTAACAGTTCGATGTGTATAATCATGTAGGCTATTCCCCATAGCCCACCTCATTAAGAAGCACTACAGACGCAAGTTTATGTATACCCCTATTCCTGTTGGGCATAGATTATGTATAGGTACCTATCAGATATACACTTAAGCCATAAGGGTTGGGCATGTTTAGACTTCATAAACATTCAAGTTACAATACAGCCTTTTTACATTATACCTTATACATTTTGGCGATTAAATTATTTAATTGCCGCCTATGGTATTAACAGGCAACTATTCGCATATTTGCACTCCATTTTTATATCACAAGTACCGAGGTGCCTAACATTTTCTTTCGCCATTTAGCATCTCCGAAATCTTTGGATACACTTTCCATGCCAAGATAAATCGACAAGTTGGTCCACGGATGTCTTGGTCCGACACGGTAACATGCCTTAGGTACTTAGGTACGCCAGTGCATACCTATGTTATATTAGATTAGGCATCTTATTGACGACCCAACTCGAAGTAGCTCAGGCCTTGATTGTATTCCATTGTTTGCTCCCACCACTACAAGTATTGTCGGATATCCTTGCCTTCATTCCAGTCCCCAATCGAGCGATACTTGCGCTGTTCTGCGTCTTTTGATGCAACATTCCGAAGTATGAATAACCCATAGTCGGCTGCTTCCGAGTTATCCCAGCCTCGCTCGTTAATAATACAAGACTCTGGACTGAGTTGCTTATTGGTAACAGCGTCCAAATCGTAATTGGCAGAAGAGAAAGCTTCGGCACATTTGATAAGGTCCCTTCGTTTCTCTTGTAAGTAATTATGCGTGTGTGCTGAGATCTTGCTAGCTTTATCCCAGTCCGCGAGCGTGACGTCCTCAAGCCCTCGGTCGACGTTGAAGCGATAATACTGGCCCGTACTTCCGTATTTCTCGTCTAGCCTGTCCGCAACCTTCTTGGATGTTGTCGAGATAGACTTTAGTGCCGTCAATATCGATGTCCGTGTGTTTTTAATAGTACCAACTGCGCCTAAGCCCGTGCCAATACTAAGAACATACATCTGACGGGCTTTGGGAAACTGCTTCTGGGCTTCCTCTATGAGAACCTCACATGGGTTATTATAACCTAAGGCAGCGTCGATAAATTCAATATTGTCTCGACCACACCGAATAGACTTGAAGAAAGTTGATGCTGCTGAAGTTGCGCGTACCGCCTCCCAAATCTTGCAATCCCGGAACCCGCTTGCCTTGTCGTACGTTCTGAAGAGGGTTGGCCTCGCATCGACATTCTCCTTAGTCATTGCTAGCACTACGCTATATGTGACTTGTCAGCTTAAGTTGGAGATATTATGCATCCAGTGGCGCACGTCTTCACACAGGCATCATTCCGAAAAAGAGCATCGGCATGGGAGCAAGTTCCCCGAAGAGTACACATTTCATCTTTGCATTGAGCTTTCACCACTTCCTCTGTGGCCACTTTGAGGGAGGCAGCGGAATAAGCTCCACTTGGTGACAGAGGCAAAGGTAGCAAGCGCCTCTTAGGCGTGAAGGCTTTCTTCGCCAGGCTTCTATACGCGTCAATACAATCCTCAACTGTCATACCAAGTCGTCCAAGCATCATCGCAATAATTCTATTGTCCGGATTAGCATAAAGCTATACCCATGGTATCGAATCATGTTACCCTCCTGTACTTGTTCCTCCGATAAGATCGAAATATTCACACGGCCGGGGGGCTTGTTGCAGATTATGGATTCGGCGGATGTTTTCCATTATTTCTTGGAGTATTAGGATGCTTGACATCCCACGGATCCCACCCCCGTCTAATACTGTAAGTTCAATAAACATATTATATAGCAAAGAAGAAACTCTTACCAAGCGACAAGATCCTCAGGGTAGCTTCCATGATCTATATCGAATACCTATTGGAGAGAAATACCTCGTGTCAAGAACTCTAGCATATTGTACGAGATATTATATCTTCTTAAATCATAGTAAGGCTCATTGGGCTTCAATGCTGGTGAGCGCATCTGCAGACATCAGGTTATTCACGTGTTGCATTAGGCCATTCTGTCAGATTCATGGCTGCTCCGGAAGCGGACGAGTGGAATAGAGAGCGCTGCGATGCAATACTACCGCACTACCTTAATATATCATAGGTGATTGGGCCCAAGAGACTAAAGATCGGAGATGGCTTGCTGACAGAAAAAGGTAACGGATTCAGCCCTTGGCTACAGATACAAAGTCAAAATTAGAGGACAGTGCCTTTTTATATACTGGCGGGCACTCCAAGATAACAAGTAAAGGCTAGCCAAGTAATAACACTTAAAAATGGATTTATTAGTATAATTCCCCACGAACACATTATTCGGGCGGAATATACCCCGTTGTAATGAGGGCAGTTGGAGTTAGGCACATATATTTTGGGCCTCGAACAGTGATGCAATCAGGTAGGTACACGCATAATAATCATATCTTGTTTCACATATAATGTATTTCTTCCATCTTTATATTTATAGTCGACATAGAGAATTAACTGCTATGTAATATAAGACCTAGGGATAAATGTGTGAATCTTATAAAACTACCATAGAATTATAAAAAAGAGAACGTATTAATTGGGATATTTAAACTGAGAACATAATATCAACGTAAATCGTAACGAAAATTTTTATGCACGATGTCTTAATTAGAATAACTGCTCAACTTAGGAATGTGAGAGGAAATTAACAACATGAGTAAGACTAAAAGAATACGTAGGCAGAGCTACTTTCTTGCCTATATAAACTATTTATATATATCGTAATTATTTTTCCGGGGGTAAGGGGAAGAGAGAGGGGAAAGTTAGGCCATATCTCATGCTAATTCCGATCTAGGTGCATAAATCAAGTTTGTATAAAAGGATGAGAATCTTGCTATTGTTGAATGGCATTCTATATCTACACCCTGGAGCAAGGGAAAGGAACATCACTGGACTCAATAATATGTCTTCTAAAGATCTTGTGCTATCCCAACTCTTTATATAATGCTAAAATATACCACCACTACTGATCGGCATTAGTATATCAAGGCGTATATATTTTTCCCCCACATGCAGCTAACCTACCTTTCAGAACGATGATTATCTTGCCTTAGACATCTATTCCGGCAGTTGATCAACTACTTACTGCCGGAAAGTTAGAGGCAACCCCGAATGTGTCCGTCCTACTTGCATAACCCTACTATCAGATAGTTTACACCCTTGGTTTTCATACATAGGGTGAGTGTCAGGATATATATATATCAGGTTGTAGATAGTATTGAACTAGTAACGCCTAACTTGCTACTCTCTTACGAGGGCGCTGCGCGCCTCTTATATAGTAGATATGTCCCTATAGCTACTCCTAAACCATTTATACCCTGATACATACCTTACGATCAATTATTATAAAAAGGAGCGTTAAGCTCTAGATGAGGCATCCAGAGAAAAAAAATAATACCCTCGGTATATATTATTTATAGCTGCAGGCTTCTTAGTTTAAGTCGGAGATTCTTATGGAACGACTTCGTCGCTCCATACTTCCTAAACCACGTAGAATCAAATTTTATAGGGAGATTGTCGATACAATCACTACCGACCCCATTTACGTCGCTCTAGCTAGGAACGCTAACTTCAATGTTCTAGTAAAAATAAGCATCCGGTTGTTGCGCGAATCAGAAAGCGTTCATGCGTTCGTGGACGAGCATGTAGTGCGTTAGCTGTCTAAAACGTCGTCATATATCTCCATATAGTAAAAGCACATAGGATATAGAAGTATGGTAGGCGATGAGAAGTCATTAGGAGATAATATAAATACCGTAGGGGGAGTTATCGCTGGGTCATAGCTTTATATAAGGATGGCATCCCTTCCTACTATTTTGGAACGGGTGTGGGTTAAGAGTCACTATCGTACCAATATACTAGAAGCCAGGCCCTCATCTTCATACTCTATCTTTCCCCATATAATAGGATACCTCAGCATCCGACAAAAGTAGAAAGCGAGTTAATGCGTTACCGAGGCGAGGCAGTATGAGCTGTACAGCGTAGTCCTTATTTGAGTTACTTACACCTTCAGTTAACTGAGCCTAACTTAGATTTATATCTAGAGGCCAGATGGTAAATCTTTTCTTTCCCCAATCCCTACTCTGAGGTAGAAGCACTATGCATAATGCCCCTAATCTTGACCGGCGGTAGGACCTTGGAATGATGATCTTTGCAGATAGTGACTGGTTACCGGGACTCGTTGCTAGTGGATATTGAGGACTTCGGAGCTGCTGCATAAGCTGCCTGGCAGATCAACGTCATCCATAGGACTTTGATCCTTTAGGAGTTCACTAGGATTAAGAGAGTGCCTCGCATAAGTGCCCCCTAAACGAACAAGATTATTAATACGCTTAAGGCAGTCATTGGATCACTGTGTATAAATTAGGTGAACATTGGCATGTCGGTAGGCTTTTTTTTCGTCCAGTTGCATGCAGTAGAGTTACATACAGACTAGAGACTCCAACTTCAATATAAGCTATAAGTTACTTACTATTCTATACAGGCCGGTGAGATCTTCAACTGCATATTGATACGTGCTACTAGGCACTAGGCAGACAGGAACAAGGCATCAAGGTAAGAACGAGGCTTTGTTGTGCCATAAGAAATGGCGGTCCTGTATTTCTTTGGAAAAGCAATAATACATTTTTGAAATATGAACAAGTCCACAATACTGAATATATTACGTAGGCTAAGTAATATAATTGGCTTTGTTAGTTAGCCTGACTCGGTAACTCGTCTGGGTCTCAAATTTCCGACTCGGGACAAGTCGATAGAACGCCAATTAAGCTTTCTCTAGTTGATTGGTTGCACTAGTCAAAACCTGGATGACCTTTTCTGGACAATTTCCGAATGGGCTTTTACAATAGCTCTACCCGGAGTTGACTGCCGAGGAGATCGGTAGTACGTAGTGTGACCCTAATGTATTTAGACGCTGTTTATGTGTGTGATGACTTAAATACTACCATATCTGAGGGTGAGGGAAAGATGGAGGTGAGGCGAATTACCGGCAGAGCGAAGCGCGTCTGGGATGCGACCTTGACGGGTTGGCGCCGAAATTTTGGGGTTAGACAAAGTAAGAAGATTATCAGGTCTTACGAGATATTGGTGGTTAGGTTATTAATAATACTATGTGTAGAGCGGGTAGACTTTTAGATAAAGGGGTATAGCTTAGGAGTACCTAATGCATACACCTTATTTCGAGGGGTAAATACTATGTAGACGCCTCGATTTCAGTGGTGACACGAGGCGGACAGGGCGGGGAATCCCATTTCGTTGATGCCGTAAAACTTGCGTCATTGCAGAAGGCACGGATTCTTAACTTGCCAACTGCATAAACGAAAAAAGAGGAGAATTTAAGAATCTCACTATGTAATGCACACGTGTAGGAATATAAGAAGCGACAAGAATAGAAATTCTATCTGTTGTACAGAGGCTGAAAATAAAAAGGGAAATCATCCATGCGAAGATCGTATGTAGTATAGAAAGAATTGTATGCGCCGACTTGAGCTTTTGTTTATACGGAATATGTACAAAATGTAGGCTTCTGATAACAGATGAGTCGATCTCTATGTGCGTGATAAGTCAATCCACGATCTTGGATCTGGGTAGTGGAACAATCACGAAAGAACTAAGATAACGAAATGTTACAATGGGCTTCTAGGTTGAATGTACGAAGGTACCTATTATCAAAGTTCGTCTAAGTTGGGAAGACAAGGGGGAGGGAGTTGTTCGGGAGAAGGAAAGACGCGAAGAGAAAAAAAAAAAAAAAATACAGTTTGCCAAGAGCTGACTTGCACTGGGCATGGTACTTGAAAGGAGTGACGTAATTTGTTGCGAATTTCCCGCCCTGACCACCTTTCCAGACTTCCTTCTAATTTTTTTCTAGCTCATCCTTGAGACGCTGAGACGTAACTGTTTGACCGTTATCCTCGAAATTCTACGCGAAGGCGGAAAGAAAACGTGGATAAAAAAGGTTAAAACATGGTAGTTTAAACTTGTAAGTCGCGTTCATAGATTAAATATGAATCAAAAGAAAACTTGATCAAATAACTTCTACATCGGTTAGTTAGACAGTTAATCTTTCATTTCGTCTTCCATGTACGCGCACACGCACGCTATTTTTCTTTCCCGCGGAGCCTCCTCGAATGTCGCTTTCCAATTTGTCAGACACGAATGGGGCACGTATGAGAAAGGTAAAAATACGACCAGGGCATTGCATCTCAGCCGGGATATTTGATTCGAAGAAAGGCTGGAGAACAGCAATTCTTTTTTTTTCGCCACCTCCCAAAACGCTCTGGTATGGGTAGGATGAATGTGGATGGCCTGCCGCATTTCAACTAGCGCAATTCAAGAGTCAAGTATCAAGTAACTATGTATTTCATAGACTACGTAGGAGATATGTAACGTATGGAGGGACGGGACGACTCGAGACTTGTCTTTCTCCCCTAGTATCGAAATTCAAGCCTCCGTTATTATTATCAAGACATCCTTTTAAGGTCTCCCCGCTTTTCCTTGGCTTTTTATTTCTATGTTATTGAATTTTTTGTTAGCCCTTGATCGCGATCTCACAAATCTGCTTTGTAATTGTAATTAGAGTCTTGAAATCTCCATCCTTAACTCCATGCCCACCTTATGTTAAGAAGTTTGCTTCGAATATATCCTTACAAACCAATTGCGCATGTACATGTAATTACATGCACTATGACAAGTACCTACATACATCATATTAGGTGGTTGACATACATATGTTATCTACCACCTATCGAGTGGACTCTATTCGTTTTTGAAAGTAAATAACATTACTGGTGTAAACCTTAGCAAACAAGGAAATATTAAAGATAAGATTTAGAACCGATGACGGTATCATTTAATAATTATGTTGTAAATAATATTGTTCCTATTCAAAAGAGCGAGTTCTATGTAGAAACAAGCAAGAAAAGAAAGAATAACAAAAAGCCAATTTGCTTTTCTGTTAATAAACGGTATGCCACCTGTACTTAACTCGTATGTTTTCCCTAACGTCCAATCCCAATTCAAGCCGTTATGATTCGGGCTGGGGTCCGTCGGGTCAAAGAGGCAAAATAGAGGGTTTGCCCCGTCTAGTAAACAGTAACCGGACGAATCACCGTCTTCTGTTCAGTATCTCCAGTATCGTACGTGCCATACTTGGTTTAACTTTGACTTGACCTGCTTGAATAACGTGTTTTAGTGCTGGCTTCCACATAAATACTAGCAGGCTACCCAAACAAACTTAAGTATATGTAATAAACTTAGCAGGCCTAGCAGAATACTAAACAACATTAACAGCATAAGCGACAAGGAATAGGTTAGCTTGGCCGCACTGTACGGGTACTTAGGGATCTTCGATCACGCCTTCCACACACCATTGGACGATTAATCCCTGTCTAGTGCGGGCCTTGTCCACCTTCGGCTCCAAGCATTTTTCGGGGGGCTTTTACGTCTGCTGTGCTTGCCTTTTCTCCCAGAAACCACCCCTTATGTCACTTCTTCCCTCATGACCTCATCGCCAACATCTCCTCGATACACCTACAACTTATCACTTCGAACTATCTGCGTCAATACACACAACACAGCACAACAGCAACAAACGGGTCCCCCTTGTAGTAAAAACTACGTGATAACTTGCTAGTCTAACCTATATCGTCACTCATTCATCAATTAATCGCCACGATACCCTAGGTTGCGGCCCGCGCTCGCACCTAATTCCCACCCAGAAGGTAGTTTGCCGTTTTTTTATTTTTCCTTTTGCAAGCTGCCTCCCAAGTCAGTGTTGTGCGTCAGGCGTATCGTTACATCATCATTTCTTCCCCAAACGCCCACCTACGTATTTGCACGCCCAGAGCCATAAAAACGACTTCGTCATCGTCGTCACAATGGCCCCGACCGAAACCAAATCGTCAGATAATTCTTTGTCAGGTATGTTGCCGATTGTTAACCGTTTCTCGCACCGACCTCCACCGGTCATTGCTTCCGTGCCGTTGTCGCTTAAACAACAATCAACCCCCCGCGCGTATCCAATTGGTATGCGCTCACACGGACGTCATTGCTAACGACTCATCGTCATTTGTAGAATCTAACGGCGACAAGAAACCCGAAGTCAAGTCGGAAGGAGCCGCCAATAGTCACAACAACGAACCTGGTCGCCCGCTCGCGCCTCCGCCCAAGCCCGGCGAAGATTACTTCTCAAGTAACTTGAGCCTTGAACCTAATCCGTTCGAGCAGTCATTTGGTACGGGTGGCACGGGTTGAAACCCCTGGTGGTACCAAGTTGCCCAGCGTGGCAGCCTTAACCTCGCCGTCGTCATTGTTGCCCGGGAACGGAAACACGCCGTTCAACTGGGGAGGCGGCTCCCTTAGGACGGGACCGCTCAGTCCAGCGATGCTTTCTGGCCCGGCGAATGATTATTTTGGTGATACGTCGCATACTTTGCGCGGTGGTTTTACCCCGAACGAGAGTTCTCTACGGACGGGTCTTACGCCGGGCGGGAGCGGCTCTATGTTTCCTGCCCCAAGTCCCAGCTCGCAAGCTCTCTTTGCTCAATTAGCAAGTGGCGCTGCAACTCCTAGCACACTGGACTTCCACAGGACCGCTATGAGTGCAGCTGCGGCGAAGGCAAGCCGCGATAAGCAGCAACCCCAGCCTGTAACCTCCCAGCCGGCGGAGACAAACGGAACAGTAGTTAAAACTGAGGCCAAACAAGCATCAGGCGCATTTGATCCTCATGATAATGATGCTGCTAACGGCCTTTTCATGCTAGCTCAAGGTGCGCAGGGTCGAAATGGAACTCAAACACAATATCCAGTTGGTGGCAACCAGCCGGTTCATGCTCACCCTGCTCCACCGCCCCCAGCCCAACCTACAGCCACTACGTCCCCTCACATGAACGGAAATGGTGCATCGGCATCTTCCCCCATGAGAGGAGTTAGTGAGGCGGCCAGTGGCATATCGGAAGATAATGAAATGAAACCAAGTAACAGAGGAAAGGGGAAACGTGGTTCTGGAGCTGTTGCTACAAACGGACGACGTAAAGCTGATGATACACCTGCTAAGCAGCCTGTTAATAAGAAGCCTAAAACAGCATCATCAATTAATAGTAACGACAATTCTTCGGACGAGGACGATGACGAGAAAGATCTTAATGGTTCTCACCCAAAGTCGAAGATGACCGACGAGGAAAAGCGAAAGAACTTCCTCGAACGCAATAGGTATGTCCACTTGTATATGCTACCGCTCTAAATGCTTTGCTAACAATATTTATCAAGGGTGGCCGCTTTGAAATGTCGTCAACGTAAGAAGCAATGGTTGGCCAATCTACAAAATAAGGTAGAAATGTTTAGTAGCGAGAACGACGCATTGACGGCGCAAATTTCTCAGCTGAGGGAAGAAGTTGTGAACCTGAAGACTTTATTACTCGCTCATAAGGACTGTCCGGTTACACAGCAACAAGGATTACACGGAGCATTTATGCAACAAGCCATGGAGACCTACAACCCGCAGATTAACCCTTACGGCATGGCAGCACCTATCCCGAACCAACCTGTGATGGCAGGACAAGGAGTACAGCGGCGCTTCTCATAGGATGACGAGGCCGCTCCCCATAACCAAGTCTATCCAGAGCTACCTGGATGCTAACACCAGCAACGATGATCAAGAGTACAGGTTTCGGGTGGTAAAAGTCAAACAGTTGCTTCAAAATCTTGGTCATCCATCAAGCGGTTAGCTAATCATCTTTAAACATCCTTTAATGGTGTCTGGAGGTAGGGAAAATATTCGGCGCGCTTGCTCTTGGCGGCATAGGAGGTTTAGTGGGCGTTCCTAGCTAGGGAGGCGCTCGCTTGTTAACTCTGATGTCTGTAATAACATTCGATAGTCATGAGAGCACGATAGGGCGCTAAGGTTATGGCTGCATTGTGGCGCGTCTGCAGCTAATGCTGTGAGACGTATAGGCCTACAGCTTCGCCATGTTGTCGGTTGATATTGATATATGTACGTACGTATCTGGCTGGGCATACACATTAAAAATGGTGTTCTGGGAGGGTTGGAATTGCTTTATTATACTATCTCTCGGGGGGCGTTGAGGAGGATGCAGGCGGCAACTAGGGCTTTTCGGCCATCTTCGTCCTCCTCGGGAGTTACTTGGTCTTCATACTTTCGACCGCTTATATTAGCTAGCCGATACACGCAGGCTATTAACAAACGACGCAATTATCAATGATTATTATTATAGTGCGATAATATTTTGGGTTTTTTTTTTACATGACCGGGGGAGAAATATACGATATGTAAATATTTTTAAGAGTTTACTACAAGATCAAACGAGATTTGAAATGATGTTAATGCCGACTTGAGTTGTAAATAGGTACCTAGGTACCTGAAAAAGAGACGTTCATCAATACCAGTGCTGATAAACCCCCTTACATAAATAATTGCATAATTCAGAATATAAGTTGTTTTAATACAGAGGTAAATACCTTATATAAATAAGAGATAGTTGAAGTAAGTGGATCATGCAAGCTACGGCAAGGCTAACGTTGGCGTCGATGGTTGGCCCGTGCACAATAATTCATGTAAACATTGAGAAAGTGGAAGGATCAACTTCGCGCCTCATCACCACCCACACCCTGCAACGCCTCAAACCGAATAAAACATCCACGAACGACGTCGAAACGAAAACCAGCATTTATACGTACAACGAGAGATAAATTAAAATATAATTGAAACCTTCGTCAATCGATTGACGCGGTTATAACAGCTGTTTCGCGCTTCATCATCTCCATTACCCGATCGAGCACTCGTCACGACTCGCGCGACATAGTCTTTTAATCTTTTTCTATCCGACCAAAACACTCCAGACCAATGCGCAGATTATTCCAGCGTCCATGACTACCCTCGTGCAGACCCGTCAGCCATTACAAGCCCTGAGCATGAGCAATCAGTCTCAGCCTAAGCGTCGCAGGAGCTCGCGACTTGCCTGTGGGTACCCCCCTTTTGTCCCGGCGGGGGATGAGATCTGGAAGAAAGTAGTTGTATAGTTGGATAACTAATAGAATTATCTATAGCATATGATGAACAGGATGGGGATTTTCATTTTACGCGAGGATCCAAACGAGCAAAGACACAGCCGGAGTCGATACCTGAAGACGAACTGGCACCAGCACCGGCACCTGTAACTATACCATTACCTAGAAGGGGAAGACCAAAACAGAATAAGAACCGCGAACCACAGCCAGAACCCCCAGTTCAACCGGCTCAATCGGCTCAGCCAGCACCTAGGAGAAATGCAAAGCGAAGGTCGAACCAGATAACATCTGATCAAGATGAGGTACAAACGCCGCCGCCTCCGCAACCCCCGCCGCAAAGGACCACGAGGAAAAGAGGACGCCCATCTGTGGACAAGACTGAAAAGGAACCAGCAAAAGTTACGAATGGAGTCCCTAAGAAGCAGAAAGAACGGATAGAAGAGGAAGTTCAAGAAGAAGCAACTCAGTCAACACCTGTGGATGAGCACAAGGGAAGAGGCAGAGATAATGCATCAGACTCAAAGAAGATCGCGTTGCCGTTTAGCGACACGCCTATAATGAACCGTAACAAAGAAATGCGGAGGAAGACGGGGGCTCGCAGGAGTAGTTTGGGTATGCGTGGGAGAAGGGCAAGCTCGCTTATAGACAACGGCCACAGCGCCATACCGCATAAAGCAGTCGATCCCGCCGAATTTTACAAGCATATCGAAGCCGATCTGATGGAACCACGTCGTATGAAGCAACTCCTTACGTGGTGTGGAGAGCGAGCTCTGTCAGAGAAACCACCGTTGGGATCTTTGAATTCTAATGAAATTCTGGGGGGTAAGGAACTTGCCTAAAAAAACGGCAGTATCCCTGGTTGGTTCTATATGCTAACTTTTATATCCTAGCCCGAGCGATTCAAGACCAACTATTAAAGATTTTTCGTCGAAATCGGAATTTTCAGACTGGTTTTCACGAGAGGAATTACCGCGACCACCGGCAATAGTGAAGCCTAACCCGCGGAATATCGAACACGAGGAAAAAATAGTAGCATTAGAAGAGAGGGTAAAACGGTATGTTCATACATCATTTACGAGACTTACAGTTTATAGTCACTGACGGAAGTTGTAGATTAAAAGCAGAAAAACGAGCATGGCAATCCTTAAAACAACCGCCTCCAGAACTACCGCCACTCTTCCCATCATCAGATTCAAACCCTCAATCACTACCATTACCCGATGCCTCCCTTCTCGACTCCGAAGAGGCCCAAATTCTCGCCACTCTCACAGACCCATCGACCGCCATAAAACCGCAGAAGATCCAATCCCGACTTCAAGCGCTCCAGAACTCCCTCGACTTTAGAATCGACCACCTATCCGACAATGTTCAAAAATTAGAACACCGGGTAAAGACGGGAGGACTGCAAGCAGACCGCGTGCTAGCACTCAGCGCGGCAAGGTTAAGGGAACGCGAGGAGAAGGAGAGAGCGAGCGCAGGAACTAAAGACATGCCAGTTATGGAAGTACTAAGAAGTCTGGGGAGGATATTGCCGCCAGAAACCGGAGGAGGGGGGTTAAAGTCGTTTCGTCGACTTCCTGTGCCGCGTATATAGCGAGTACGCGTGTATGGAAAATCCGTAAAAAGAGAAGAAGAAAAACAGTTTATCAATATTTTTCACGTCCTCACGTCCAGGGTTTTTTTTTTTTTTTCGTCATCGAACAGGCAAGGGAAATAGGTGGCATAAATGATTGATTTGCGTTTGCGGTTTGCGTTTGCGGCTTGGAAGATACCACATCGACTCGAATGAGGCGGGAAGGCGTTTTTCCGTTTTTTGTTGTTAGGTTAGGTAAGGTACCTATTATTCGTGCTGGTTTACCAACGCTCTGCGGCATGGCTTTGGGCAACCCAGGCCTGGTGTGTAGGTAGCTAGGTAGCTAGCGAAATAGGTAACTGGCTATGGCTGGGATCGGCGTCTGCGAGATGAGATAATGAATGAATCCTGCATTGCATTGTATTGCGCTGCGTTGCGTTGCCTTGATGTACTTATTGGTTCGAGGGTGGTGGTGATGGTTATGATGCATTAGGAAGGGAATCGAGTGTTTGTATATGACTGTTTATCATCCATTTACTGCTGTGAATATGGTGCTGTCAAGGCTTTGCGCGTAGCCGAGTGATTGGATTCCTCTCCGGTGAGCCTTTGCTTGAAGTAGTACCTTGATGCCAAGATATGGTCAAGGTATATTTAAAGGATGTGACTTAATGAGCCTTTAACACATGTCCTCAAGTAAAAATGGTAGAAGAAGTTTAAGTAGGTACCTGTTATATTACCTACAATTAGGGATGTCCTTATGTTTGTTGAGAACTTCGGGATATGAGCTAGTCATTATATTACGTGCCAAGAGTTAAGTCGAATCTTGATTTTTATATTCCTTTTGCGACACCCAGTCTCATTCAGCTCTAGGATATGCATGCATAGGTACTTAATGCATATACGATGTAATCCCTCTCAACACCAACCTACAGAATCGTACACTATCATGACCACCCACCACCATATATTTTTCATACGTTCCATTCTATCTCGTGCTCTCTGTCATCCCAGCACAATAGAATCATATATACAGCTTCCTTAGTAATCATAAAGCAAGGAGGCCGCATACCCTTACTTGGTATGCGTGATTTTTATATTCCTCCCTAAAAGTGAATGCAACTGTCCATCGAACCTCTTCATCGCAACGAAGGCATAAACGCCATACCGCCCCTTTCCTTCGACCGCGCCTTCACATGCTCCCGCAGTAATCGTAGCACCTCACTGTCACGCCACCGCGCGGGCACAGGCCGATACGCCGGCTTAAAAGTCCCCACCGTCTGCGCCCATTCGCCCGTCTCGGCCTGCGTGCGGTACGGTTCCGCAGAAGCGGCGGCGGCAGCGTTCCCCGCCGCTGCGGGATCCTTGTGGGACGAGTCGCCTGAGAGCGGGGCGCCGCCTGTGGTTAGGTGCTCTGAGGTAGTGGTTGTAATGGTTACCGGGCTGGAAGAAGTAGTGTCCAGAGGCGTAGCTTCCGAGATGGCAGCTTCGGCACCGCCGGCATAGTCTGCGGAGTTGGTGTCTTGGGTTGTTATAGAGGGGGGTGCCTCGGAAGAAGAGGGGGTGTTGGAGGGGGGCTCTTGAGTGGCCCAGTAGTATATGTCCCAATCGTTTTCGTCGAGGAAGCGGTCGTACTGCTCCATCTGCTCGCGGGTCATAGTGGATAGATACTCGTCTGCAAAGGTGGAGAGTAGAAGGTCTGATTCGAGAGTTCCACGCTTGCGGCTCTGGTCTGTTGTATGGTGGTTTGTTAGTTAGTTGCGCTTGTATGATTGCGTACCTATGTATGCGATGGTAGATAATCTTTTTGAGGGAGGGATGTATATGCATAGGAAATAGGAAATAGTCAGACTCGACTTACAGACTAGCCGGGCGCGCATAGTAGTGTCATCCTCGCCGGCCCGGCGCATTGGCTCAACACGAAACTCAGTGCCCTCGAGTTCACCGACTCCAATGTCTTGCGGGCCGCGTTGTTTGTGCGGCTCCATGGGCGGCGGGTTGTGCGCAAAGACATCCGCCTGCGCGGCACGGGTGCTGCTTAGTGGACGGCGGAGCAGGAGGAGTCGAACAGCTGCAGCGGACGGCCTTTGAGCCGAGCGCAATATAGCGCGCGGTAAGGCTACTGCTGCTACCGATGCCATTGCGCGTTTGAATCTCGTCTCTTATATATGATATGTAATGTCGTCGTTGTAACAATTTCCTTTCCTTCACGTCCCACTTGCGCCAGACGGTCCGAAAACGCGGGACACTAAAATTCCAACTTAAAATTGTAATTGTAATGTCAAAGCTGTATTGGTAATAGGTGAAGTTGTTTCTTACGAGTCGTTGACGTAAGTTTTTAAAAGCTTAAAAGCTTAAGCTCGAGGTTTTGTTAATTGAAGCTTTGTAATTCGCGGATCATGTGAAAATTGCCGAGGCCGTAGGGCCGTCCCTTCCCACACGGCCGGTCTAAGGTGTGCCGGGGCTACCCTTTCTACCTTTTCAAGGATGTCACCTTCCGTTCATCTCCGATCTGATCTGCGCTACGGTACACAAATATTACGTATATGTACATGTCACTTTCGCATATGCATACCTAGGTACATATCACCCAAGTACAATAAGAGATATTTACATTATACGATTTCATAAAATAAAAAGACAGCAAATTAACTATACCTTATAACCATTGAAGGATGGGAGAACTCTTCTCATCTCGTTTCAAAGCTTAAATAAAGCGGCAAAAAAGAAAAGGAATACAAAGGCAGGCCTCTAGTCTCGAGACATGCGCTTTTGATCATAGCAAAAATGGCCATATCATTTGTTTTCTATTCGTCTCCCGACTCCAAGGCGTTAGGAGACGTCTATACAGATTTATGAGTACAAAGCATGAAACATCGTATTTCATGACACCATATCCATTTTTTCCTTCCTGAATTCGCGTCACGCCCCTGTCGCCTCCTTCCCCTGAGCTCCGTAAAATCCGGGACTCCTTTACCACAACCAAGCATTACTAGGGTAAAGGGGGTCCAGAGTAGTGTCAGTCCAAGCTGATCCAGCTAGGCACCATCTTTAATCGCTTCAAATTGGTAATCCCCTAAATCAGATGCTTCGATCGGAAGTAGGCGCGCAGGTACATGATCTGCCAGCCCCATAGCGCAACCAGCAGCAATGTAGTGCCAATACCGAACCACTTGACACGGGTGTTCGTGCTCTCATTGGTATCGCGTAGCTTCTGCTCTCTCGCCCTAAGGTATTCCATCTCACGTACGATATCGGCGATCGTCTCCTCGATGCGGCGCAGGTCCGTCTCGACGGGCTTAAGCTTCTCGGTGGCTTGGATGGCGGACCAGTCCTTAGCGTCGGCGCCGATGTCGATGTCCAGCTCTACGTGTCGACTGGGGTTGTTCATACGCGCTGGTTTGAATTGGTTAAGAGCTTTTCGAGGGTTGCTATCTTAGCCCTATCCTCGCTCACTCACACTAGTAGAGTAGAAGGAAAAGACACTAGGGAAATGGGAGAAACGTACTATGCGTCATGATGTTCTCGAAACATACGTCGAAGGCGGCGTCCGCGTGCGAGGTGAATACGGTACGTTGTTCGCCTACTATATCTTTCGGCTTGCCGTACTCGTTGCCGACGTTATCCACGATCTATATTCCGTTCACATCTAATGTTAGCTACATCTGTTGGATACCCCTTTTGATATATAAAAGGCCTTCATAAAACATACGTGCATATTAACAATCATACCATCCCCCTTACTTCCACCAACCGTAGCGGTGACAACAACCAATGTGTCCTTGGCGACGAAATTCCGTATGCATCGTTCTGTCTTCTTATCGTTGGGTCCACGCGCCACCAAGTCGAATTTCAAAGCATTTACAGATGCGATTAAGAGAATAAGGCCGCAGATATACTGCAGCAATCCTCGTGGCAAGGCCATTGTGTATTGGGTATATCGACTTGTTTCTTCGTCTTGCGAAAGGAGGAAAGAGTCTCGAGGCTCTTACCAGAAGCTAACAACTTTAGGGATTTAGGTGCTTCCATGTAACTTTGTACTTTGTAATAAAACGTGTTCAAGTGTTTTATCCAATAAAATGCTTTAAAGCTTAGCTTTCCAGTAGCCTTGCAGCTTATACGTATCCGTAGTCACGTGCATTATAGCCTTATCAATTGACCGGGAATCTCCATTCTTTTTTTTCGCGTCCAAGCTCCCTTTCGCTTTTGTACATAATGTACCTAAGTTAATGTACCTTAGCTTTTGTATCTTTTGTATCTTCCAAGTCCGGGAGCAAACTCAATTTAAATCGCATTCTTCCCTTAACCATCACCAATCTTTACTATCACTAGGTTATAATACAGGTTATACCGTCAAGATGCCGAAATGTATGTATACCAAATAACTTCTATTTCAATTTCTTCTAGTATATTAGAATGCTTTCCCTTTTAGAGACGCGATTGCTAACAATGCTTCATCAACAGTCTTCTGCGACTACTGCGACGTCTACCTTACGCACGACTCCATGAGCGTGCGCAAGGCCCACAACAGCGGTCGAAATCACCTACGAAACGTCGTCGATTATTACCAGCAAATTGGACACGAGAAGGCCCAGTCTGTCATCGACTCCATCACATCCTCCTACGCCGCCGAAGGCCAGGCTCACGCTAATCCTATGTTGCCTCAAAATCAACCCGGTGGCGCGGCAGCGGCAGCGGCGGCGGCAGCAGCAGGATTCCCCGGAATGCCACCACCACCCTTCAGCTTCCCCGGCGGTATGCCGCCTCCGCCTTTCCCTGGTATGCCTTCTGGTATGCCACCCCCACCAGGCGGCGCGTTTCCCCAGGGTATGCCTCGTAAGTAGTTCCCTTTTCCCATCTTGTCGCGTACTCCTATATTAGGCCTTGAAGTTCTAACGCGCATCATAGCTCCGCCAGGCCAAGGTGGTAGAGGACTTCCACCGCCTCCCTTCGCAGCCGGACCCGGCGGCCTACCCATCCCACCCCCAGGCGCCGGTCTACCATTCCCTCCGCCAGGTGGCCTGCCATTTCCTCCTCCGGGCGCAGTCGGTGGTAACGCGCCTCCCTTTCCATTCCCCGGTATGCCCCCGCCAGGCCAAGGTTTCCCCGGTGGACCCTCGCCACCCGGCGCAGCTGGCGGCTTCCCGCCTCCCCCGGGAGCGCCCGGCCGTTAGGACCGCGCTGGTGCTGATATGAACCGCGCCTCGGGGTTCGAGACAGGACGAGAGGCGGAAACCAGTGGTGGTAAAGGACGAGGTTCAGGTCAATGGCACCAGTCCCTGCCCCTACCGCCGACACCCGAAGTACGAGGATCTCGGAATACTACTAGTCCTGAACGAGAAAATGGGCGGAGATTTAACCCATATTCTCGAAGATAACGAGGAAAAGAGAGTACGGATTTGGGCATCCACATCGGAGAATTGCCAAAACGACACTGTCAAAAAAGAAATTTGAAGCGGTCTCTCAAATAGGGTGGTTCGTCTGTGTTCGCCCACGCAAACTAGACACGGTAGAATCGTCCTAGCTACTTAAGGGGAAAAAACTGTATAGTCTAATTAGACGACGGTAGAGAGCAAGACAGAAGGATTACGCAAGGGAAGGAAATTGGGTAATGTGTTCGAGTCAATGGAGCTTGGTTGCAAGGCAAGGCGTTATAAGGAAAGACCGACCCAAGGTCTCGTTTGGTTTACTTCGTGGGCTTTTCCTTCCCCAGGCGGATATACCCTGTTGCCAGCCATTGTATTCTAAAACAAAATACGTATGGGCATAATGGACTGAAAATATCAAGGGCAATTTGAAGGCACCTATCTAAACTGTGAGACGCGGATAAAGCTATAATGCGAGAACGAGGATGAATTTGTGATTTGTTTTCTTGGTCTTGGTTGTATGTGTTTAGGACCATGATGTCTAACTTAATTCACAGTATAACCATATCAGCAGTAGCAGAAGAGTAGACGTGATCAACACGAAAACGACAACACGTAGAAACACCATAAAAAGACAACACCAAACAAGCTTACCGAAGGCCAAGTTTCGGGAAAAAACAAGAGGTAAACTTATCATCACTTGCTCAACAAGTTAGTATTCAGGTATTCGTGTCATGTCTCTCCTCTGGATCCTAGCTCCAAGACGGGGGTAGTAGCATAGCAAAATAAAATAAAACAAGACATCTCATCAACATCATTCCCAAACCATCCTTCCATCCATCCCTCCCTCCTTGATTCCCAACCATTCCCAAACCCATCATGCTATTGGAAAAGGGGGAAGAAAAAATCCTGTATCTCGTCCTTTTTTAAAACATCCAGTTTCGTGTCATCAATAGGGGTAATCAGCCAAAGTCTCAAATCGTAATATGGGGGAATAGGGTCGTGTTTTTCGTGGCTCGTATGCATCGTAAAATGTAAATAGCAAGTTCATTATTAGTGTTGTTGATTGGGGCGTTCGTGCCAGTAGTAGAGGATAGAGGGTAAGGGAAGACGGTAGAATATGGTATGGCAATAGTAGAAGCATGATAGATCACTAATTGAGAATTTGTCTTCGTTGCCGCTTGATCGTACCCTCTTCAAAACTGTCCCCTTAAAAGTCCACGACCCTTAGAAATTAGATGTAGACGGATCTGCGATGTTGATGCGCCTGTGTTGGGTGCCGCTGGTAGTGTGTTGCTCCGTTCGCCTTCCCGTTCGGCGGGAAATGGTCTGGTATGAAGGCCCCTTGTAACTGTTGCGTTTGATCACTTCACCTACACCATCTCGGACCTCGCGCGGACCGCTTATTTTTTGCCGCAGAACCTCCGTGCGCTTCTGCCGACGATGCTCGCTTAATCTGCGCTGCAAATTCTGCGGTCTGTATTGTTCCAACTTATCCTGCCAGTTAGGGAAGAGTCTGCGCCCTCTATCATCGACTCGTTTCTCAGCGCCCCAAGCACGTCGAGCCTGCTGGTCGGGCGCGGTAGACGGCCGCCCTTCAACTTCATGGTCACGAGAATTGCGGCGGCTGTTCCACTCGAGAGTGCTATAGCTATCACGGTGTTTCATTACGCGGAGTCTGCCACTCGGTGTGCGCTTGACGGTGCGACGTTCTGGACTACGCTGAGTGGATACTGTGTAATGATCCTCGTCTTCGATAGGTAATATAGCGAATGTACGCTTCATTCGTTCGCTCAAGCTCCTACGACGAACTGGACGATTGTCAACTGGGGGATATCTGTAAAGCGTATCCACTTCTGCAGGAACGTCACGTGCCCAATCATCGTAATCGTATTCTTCGAGGTCATCATCAAACGCGGGTTGCCAGAATGGATGCAATTTTGACTCGTCAGGTGGTGGGTCTTCAGCCGTCGGGTATGGCTGCCTCGTAGTATCTCTATTCTTATCAAGAGTTGGGTTTTCTATAGTTTCTCTCCTAACTCCTTTTGAAAGAGACAGAGTCCGCGATAAGAAACCAGACGGACGAACATTGTCGTGCTCTTACGAAGACTAAAGGCGCGACGTACCAAGGAAGGTCGCTTTTGAGTCTGCTCGAAGTAATTACCTAGCATCTTTTCTTTTTCGGCGGCAGGCGTAAGTCCAGATGGCGTAGCTGGGATGAACTTGATCATTGGCGGTTCGGGGGGAGCACGCGGGTTTCTAAGAGGTGAATCCACATCATCCATCGAGAATTGATGTTGGGGAGGCGTTGCGGGCACACCATCGGGACCAGTAGCTATAATTTTAGGGTTGTCTAAGACTTTCCCCGTTTCCGTAGCATATCCCGTCTGGGCAAATTCTGGCCCCTGTAACGCGTTTGCGGCGAGGGCAGGATCTACGGGTTTCGACATATGATGAACCATCAAAACGGATTTATTTTGGTGCGGGTAAATATTCACAGCCATGGCTTCCGATATGTCTGCCGCGGAGTGAGTCCCGTTTGTCTCAACAGATGCTTGGGAAAATGGGGTGTTATGCGCAGTGAGGCGCTTGCCGAAGAACGGGTCTCCGTTATTATCTACAAGCGGTTTGTGGTCGTGGAGAGCATCCCTGTGTGACTCGACGGATGGAGCCGGTTCAAGTTGTCTCTGATCGGGATGACTGCTCATATATTCGACGGGAGGTGCACGTTCCACTGTAACCTGAGGTAATTGGCATTGTTGCTGCTGCTGTTTGCTCTCCTGCTCCAAGAAAGCATCATGCGCCTTCAAGCTCTCTGCAGTTAACGATCCAGCTCGAGAACCAGCCCTAGATCCATTCCTGCTAGTCGGGGCTGAAAGAGATGATCTACGCATGGGAACGATTGGGGGATAATCCATCGTTAATTCTTCCACCTGGATTAACCCTTCTGATTCCGACATCGATCTGCCCCTTCGGGAAGGTTTGTTAAAATAAGGAGTCAGGTCCTTCGTTTTAGAATTTGACAGTGGTGCTGAACTAAGACTATTACTTCTCCTAGAGTGGTGACTACTCGTGGACCTAAGCGATGTCGGCCCAGTAGCTTTAATAGAAGTTCTGCGGTCAGGAATGACCACAACAGGAATTCCTCCATTCTTCCATACTTCCCGCCGGGCTTTACGGCTAGCGATAGAGTTGACCGTACCTGTAGACGCAAGGCTTTCTGACCGGACAGTGCCATCAACTATTGTCCTAGCAGCTCTTGCGCGCTGAGAAATTTCTGTCTGGCGAAGGGACGTATTTAACGATGTATTCGCCGATGAGCTTGACGGTGAAATCTCAGAGCTAGAATCCCTTAGCGCTGGTTGCTTCCTGACGTGCCGCAACGTTTTCCGCCTCTGGGGAGGCGTTCCAACCAAAATAGCTTCCACCACTGTAGATGCTGTAGATTTTGAGGACATGCCGGAGGACCGCCTAACATCGGTGCTTACCGAAGACTCGGAAGTAGATGGTGCGGTCCAACCCTTTTCCTTGCTTGCAGATTCCAGCGGTGGTGAGGGATGCGTATGCAATCGATCCGATAGGGGCATCGACCTTAGGGCCTTTGTTGCGTTGGTCGGAGTCACCGTCACGTCCTCGACCACTTCTGCTTTTGGCCCATTAACTTTCGCTTGGACACGTCGCTTCTCCACTTTGACATTCCTCTCATATTTATGGTCCCATTCCTGCTCAATCGAGCTGGCAGATCCCCATTCACCGTCAAATGCTGAAAATTCTCCTTTCGTCCTTGGTGTCAAATTCTCGTCCGACTCGAGACCTAATCCTAACCCCACGTCCGGGGTTTTCTTTTGCCGTGCGTCAATTAAACGTCTTGCTACAATCTGAGCCGCCTTAGCTGAGGACAATACCGCTCGAGGCGTCAACTTGTCATCTTCCTCTGAAGAATCCAGGTTCTCTCGCGCTGTTGTAAAAGACTCCGTACGAGAATCCGTGGCCTTGGATGGAATGCGATCCACCAGAACGGGGCGTGAAGGTCTCGATCGACGCTCGGCTTGGGGAGGGGTGACGTCTGGAGTAGGCGGACTCGCTTGGTGTGGTGGAGTTTTTGGTGTTGTACTCACAGAGGTGTTGGCAACGTTTTGCACCGGAGTGCCGACGTAGATTGGACTCGAGGGCTGGATCAATTCAAGTGATTGCCAGATGAGGTGCGCGAATGCGCCGGCGGGGTGGGAGGAGAGCAGGACCAAGCCCAGGCGCTTTGACGCTGGGATTCTCGTCGTGGCTTAGGCTCGGTGGAACAGATGACTCTTCTTCCTTCACATGCGACTTCAGGATTGACGTTGGATCAATAGACAGGTCACGAGAATGTCGATTCCTAACCGTCGACTCAGGCCGACCATTTCTAGGATGCGGAAGTACCTTGTGTTTCTTGAATGCTCCTTCGCTAGGCTTACCAAGAGTAGGGCGATCAGACAGAGGCTCGAAGTAGAGATTTGTTGATGTCGGGGGCGAGACGGTTTTGGTAGAAGCGAGCATTGTTGTGTAGGATGGCATGCTATCTATTATTGTTGCCGACTCTTGCAAAGTCTTGCAAAGCCTACTTAACGGGGTTGCACCAAACCAGTCATATCCTTCTCATCGTAAGAAAATGGGGTGGTTCGGGGCTGAGCAGGATACGTTGTTTTTAAAAAATGAGCTTGCAGTGCGTGTCCGAAACCCTTTTGAAGGTAATTCTCTTTCGTCTGCAAGCCCCCTACGCGATGCAGAAGCAGGCAACTCTCGTGGTCCCTAAAATGGTCGACTTGCCTGGCTCCTGATAAAAATGTACCGTGCCGATTATTGGACCACTCACAGTGACTGAAACTGGGTTGGAGACCTGATCGAAGGTGAAATCCTTAGGACCTTGCAGCGCATGGTACAAAAAGCAAGGTATCTAAGCACTGGCCATTGGATGATATTTTTGGGAGGCATGAAAGAAATATATGAGGAATAATATGGCTTGCAACACCAACGAGATTGCTCAAGTTATGGGAGGTACCAATTCTCGTGTTTCTGTGTGTGCATGGCTAGGTAATGAAGGAATATTGGGATAAAAAAAAAGGAAGGGTTGCGCAAAGAAGGTTAGGTACTATACTATTAGAGGTGTAGGTACGTAGGTATGTATGTATAAGGTAAGTACTTCTTCGGCGGCTACAGACTTATAAGGTAAGTACTTCTTCGGCGGCTACAGACTGGGTAACTAGGTAGAATAAACGACTTTTAATTGAGTGCAGGTAATAAAAGGTGGACGATGTCGGGAATCTTTTTCGCAGCTTCCAATCTTCCAACTTTCCCACTCTCAATGATAGACAAGAGTGGGCTCGGTGGACTTCGAGGGAACAACGTCAGAGAATTTAGTTAACTTTCTTGCCTGCCTCCTACCCAGCTACCTCCTGCCTCCTGCTTGTTCTAAATAAATTCGGAGTCGGGGGCTGGGGTTCCCAGCCTAGGAAAGCGGCCCCATCTAACCTTAGTTGGCTACCCTAGTCCTAGAAACCTCGCTAGCTTGTGCTACATAACGTCAAGTGCACATGTATGATACAAGCACTTAAACATTGACAACTTCCCGGATAGGCGTAGTCACTTTTTTCGATTTTTAGGTACGGAATACTTTCGATATTTCTTTTCGTCTTCGGAGAACTGGACATGGACGCCATCCACTCCAATACATTCCATATGTAGTATAATACGTACCAACAGGTACCTACGTAAACCCCGACATCTATGAAGCCTAACATCTAGGTATGATTCCATATGCAACTCATACAACTCCATCTGGACCCGGCTGGTTACATTAGATATTTCGTACATGACCCACCAAGTCTCTAAATCTATATATCAGAGCGGCGCGCGTCCTTTACGCATCACGGAAAGACATAGGCGGATTGCTTCCAGCCACCCACCAGAGACGAGTAGGTTACGTTGTATCAATGCGGGAGGTGTTCTTCATCTGTCGTGCTTCTCCCCCCCAATCTGCACCTCTAAGTGGATAATGCCCATCTGCTGCAGCCATTCAAGTCACCAGGACAAATGAGCTTCTCGAACTGCACAAGGCTGTTCGGCCTCATGCTAGACCTGCTTAGCCTGCAGCCTACCCAAAGCGAATCAGAATCCCCGACACCCGTCACCCTAAGTCGATGTGCGACTTCGCCGTAGTCTGAGTCCCAACAGGGTCAAAGCCCGGGTTGGCATTTCCACACTTCTTAGAGCAACGAGTGAGGGTGCGACGTTCTAGGCGCGGACCGGAACCACATGGCCCTTCCTCCCTAATTTATACAAATCGCAACAATATTTAATAAGATACGATAGTCATAGTCAAATAAAAAAGAATCGCAAAATCTCATTATGACGAAATTCCCAAGAATTCGGCAACGGTGGGGGCCATAGGAGCGTCGGAAAAATAAATGACAAGCCGTGGCTCTTAACCATGGCTCCTATGTGACTATAACTGGGACTCCGCGGTCGCAAAGTCGAGGCCACAGATGTAAATTGGAAAATCCTATTCAGCAAATACCTCACTGTTGTGCAAAGGAGCATGTAGCAGTGTGGGGGCAACCCCCCCTTTCTCACAGTCGAAACAGTTCATTAAGAAACACGAGTCAAGCTGAAGCCATACTTCAAAAGAAAATATGCAAGTTGGATTTGAAACAAACCCTTCGCCTCCTTGCTTATCTTCATGCAGATATATTATTATACTAAAGACTTACAGATAGTATGTTCTTATCTTAATACTACTCATACCCCCCTGGGCTTCCAATTACGTCGGCCTTGGAGGGGAAGTAGCCGACCCGGCAGTTAATAAGAACTTGCCTATCTCTTCGCCAAATACGTTTAGTCTACCACGTGGAATTACCATTTTTGGTCTTCTATCCGGAAAAGAGACAACCGAATTTCATGATCGGGAACCTATATAAAAACGGCCGGCTACTCAATCGCCCGTCTCACTCCCGTTTAATAAATTGCGTTTGTCTACCTTGTTGTTTACATGTTCGTTTCATCCAACACGTCGGCTGGGATATCCAGACTATAACAGGAGAGATACGTTGACGCAAGTTCGTACCTAGCCAGTATACTACTCATATTACTGAGATCTTGGCCATTGAAGCTTTATCTAGTGGTCCCCCGCATTCAAGTGCAATGTCATCAGCGCATTGCGGACAATTCCGACTGGATACTTACCTAAAAAGGAAGAGTTCGATGACATCTCCTCTATGCAAGTTGAGCATCGACGTCCAGCCGATATGGGTCTCCGAACAATATCCTAATCTCAGTGGTTAAGAGTTGCTAGTGATAAGCCTATTACACTAGTCAAAGCTCTGTTGTCATTACAAAATTAATGGTAGAATTGATAGCAGAATTGATAGCAGTCTTTTACCAATCCGAATGACAGAAGATCGCCCTCCGGGAACGGTAAGATAGATAGGTGTATATAGTCATACTACTCTACCATAATGTCGATAGAATAGAATCAGAACTTATTCCTCTATCCATCGTGCTTCAAGGAGAGACAATTGCTTTTAAAAATGTTGACGGCTCTCTTTGTCCTTAATTCCCTAGCGTTTGCTGCCGCCCATGGTACTCACGATGACCAGAAAACTCTCTCTGGGCCGCATCAATCCTTATGGTACAATGTTCTGCCTGGGGATGGTGGAACACAGGTCAGATATTACCATGAAGAAGTAACTTTCCAGGTAGCTAAATATCTACGATAGGCTGACTCGGTGTTCTCCGGAATCTCTACGTTTGGGCGCCTACCATATCAAGCCTGCTTAGGCCACGATGAGATAGATTATGATCTTGCATTCATAGGTCCGTTAAGATCTTAACCGTAGCATCTAAATATTCAAGCTAATATGTCAAAGGGGCACCTTTTGATACTGGCACGTCCTACCGGCCCGGTGCTCGGTTTGGTCCCTCGGGAATTCGTCAGGGATCTCGACGTCTCAACCTCTAGTAAAGCTCCATTGATATAGACATAATTATGCTCATACATCCTGCTAACCCTGAATAAAGCGGAGGATATAATGTACCCTTAGACACAAATCCATTGGTATGTATGAAAACATCCCCTGTTGTTATTTTTGGACTCTCTCTCTATAATGGTCTTGAAATATAGTAGCTAACTCTCAGTAGTAAGTGTGATGACCCCCCTCACTTAGAGTCACTCGAACATGGCGAAGACTCTAGAATTTGCAGGGTTGAAAAGTTGACACGAAATGTTTTCATACATTAGCAATGGATGGGCGAAGGTCCTTGACTGTGGAGATATCCCAGTAACATCGTATGGCTCAAACTCTCTACCCCTTCGAGAGATTCCTACATGTAAGACTAATCATGTTATTTATGATAACACGTGGGCTCTGAAACAAATCGAAGAGGGCCACTACAACATCTTATCTCGAGCTCCAAAAACGGCCGCAGACAAGCCTGGGCCGTCTAAAAAGGGGAAAACTTTACCACGAGTCATCACTCTTGGTGGTGACCACACTATCACCCTCCCTTTACTCCGCTCAATCAACCGAGCATATGGTCCTGTAACAGTCATCCATTTCGATAGCCATCTAGATACTTGTATGTCGCTACCACCTCCCTCCCAAATCCCCATGCCGGCGCCTAACAATAATCTAACTCATACCTCCCCTTACTCCTAAACAGGGCGTCCCAAAGTCTTCGGCGGTTCCCCCTCCGAAGTCGCAAGCATCAACCACGGAACATACTTCTACCACGCAGCAGCGCGAGGGCCTGCTCGCCAACGACACTAACATCCACGCGGGCATCCGCACCACGCTCAGCGGGCCCAGCGACTACGAGAACGACGGGTACTGCGGCTTCGAGATTGTCGAGGCCCGCGAGATCGACAAAATCGGCGCCGAAGGCATCATCAAGAAGATTGTCGAGCGTGTCGGCACCACCAACCCCGTCTACTTGTCCCTCGACATCGATACCTTGGACCCAGCGTTCGCGCCGGCTACGGGGACCCCGGAGACGGGTGGTTGGAGCACTAGGGAGCTACGCACGATTTTGAGGGGCTTGGAGCATGTTAATCTGATCGGGGCGGATATCGTGGAGGTTGCTGTAAGTTCTATAATTGGTAATGAATCGGGTTGTGAAAGTTGTTTGCTAAAATATTTATCTATCTAGCCTGCTTATGACACAAATGCTGAGCACACCACGATGGCAGCAGCTGATGCGCTATACGAAATAATGAGCATAATGTTGAAGAAAGGGCCGTTGAGCAACATGGTCTCTACTGGTTCTGAGGAAGAGCTATGAGTTTCCCTACGCGTCCCTATAAATGCTATTTCGGAAATGGGTTATTTTAGGGGTGTATAGGACATCGCTACTGAACCCGAGATGTAGTCCTTTAAGGGGGGGCGTGTGTTACGAAGTACCTAGCACAACTTGTATCTGGTGGAGCTGATGTTAAGTCGGGTGTCATGTGCTGCCTGAAAGCATATGCCTCGAGCACGCGTCGCGTTTAAATAGTTCTCTTTTGAAATACACGTCAGTGGGAAATATTTAGACTGTAAAAGCGCACGTTCTATCAATCTACGGCACCATTTACAAACATTTAGTACAGTGGTTTGATCACTGATTTAGGGAACATATAAAGTGAACCATTTACATTCGAATCTATGGAGGGGGAGACAATGTTTGACCATTTTGTCTTTTTGATCAACTTTTTACCTGCTCTCATATATTTCAATAAAATAAAAGATTTTCTTAGGAAAAACGTATCGTATATTATATGATAAATATTTTTTTTTACATTCTATTTTCAGTTACCGAAGCAAAATATAGAGTTGAGAAAAGGAATGGTATTCCGCTCGCATTAGATCGCACTTCGCACTTCCGTACTACCTCTACTTGGGAGTCAAGATAACGTTCTCGTGTTTGAAGCCTCTTGATTATCAAAGATAACGATGTGATCGTTACCTAATAGAATAGGATAACTATGTACTTGCGGGAATTTATCTTTTGCAAGTCTAACACGATTCCATGACACATGTGGTATCTAAAGGACCCAGTGTATCTATCCCCAGAAGAAATACCTTCTTACTCTCCATGTACTAAAGGGGGAGATTGTTGAATCCATATAACGAGACGTAAGTCGTATTCCGAACTTGCACGGAGCTAACAGTATCACATGGTACCAATTATTCATTTATAGCAGTTGGTATTATGTATTAAAATGTCGATAGTGATTAAAACGCTGTATTGTATATAAAATACCCCAAATTTGCTTGATGTAATAAATCATAGGGGTATATAACGCCCATGCTGTCCGAATCTCCTCTTGTATGCTCTTATATCGAGATCTTTATACCCAAGTAATTCTTGGCTATTGACTCGATGCTGGTAGGTATCCAAAAGGCGGCTCCAATGCCACCTCCTAATTTTGACCTCCTCGTCTACTCGATGGGAGAGTTGGGCATTGCTGGATGAAGACGGCTTCTTGTGAGAACCGAAGCCCAGGACATCCTTCTTCGTTCTAGGTGGAGGGTCTTCACCCAGACAATGCCGGTGTCTCGGTCCAGTCCCTGGTTAATCAAGTGTTGACAGCGTAGGAATCGTGCCCCATGCACAGACTTGTGCGCTAAGCAGACGTAGACCTGGACTTCACACATCTTGATGTATTTTCTAAAAGTCGAATTAGTAAGATGTTCATTCTTTATAGAGGCTAGCTATTCTTACCTTGATGGTATTCGAAGGACCTTCTTGATGTTATGTTTTTGGGATATTGGCGTATTTCTTGATGTATTGAAAACGCTTCTTATGGTGTCAAGCAAGTCAGCTTGAGCTGATATCTCTTGGTGATGGTGTTCTGAGAATGCTGAGAGCAGAAGACCTTGTTCGAGCTGCTTGGTGAACTGATTGAGACTGAATACATTACCTCCATGCTGAGATCACTCGAATATATATACTTTTCCATATTCCAGAGGTTAACAAAGTGAGAATAATTTTATATCTTCCTCTGTATGGATTTCAAGTTCTTCACAGTTTTGGGGAGAGATAGAGAAGCGTTGTATATAGGGAGCTGGTAGTTCATAACTGTCACCATGCCTAAAAGAGATCTTAAGCTGTTCATACTGATATTGATTGAAACCCCATCTATTGTCTTTACTGTGATATTGATCCACAAAGAATGTCTTCCAAAGGTATGCTCCTCCCACTGTAGAATACTTTAGATGCATACTTATTGGCACAATAGCCTGATTTTAGCTTAGGGCACTTACAATATGGCATTGACACCAGCTTGCTATCTGTATGGCTGTAGAGTTCGCCATTTATATGGCCTCGTCATTCGAAAAGATACGTATTTATTTTATTTCGATTCAAAGTGGGCCGTTCTAGAGACCAGTCTATTTGCAACTGGCCTAACGCAATCCCATGGTTTTATCGCACTTCCAAGGGCATTTTGCCGACTTTACTCACTGTCCCTAATGGCTCCCAGCTTCTCTCAAAATAATTCTCCACTTAGATAATATCTTTCTCATTTACGTAGCGTGGTAAGAATTAAATATTGTCAACATTGTAACTTATTGATGCTTACTATTTCGCTACTAAATAAGTTGTTCATGTTGCATTCATAAACAATTGTTAATAGCCATATCAAATATCACCCCAGCATCAGTGGTTTAGTGGTAAAATCCATCGTTGCCATCGATGGGCCCCGCGTTCGATTCGCGGCTGATGCATTAGGTTTTTTTTTAAAAAAAAATTTTTCTCATCTACTTTATCAGTTAATACACTGACTCTATTCCGATACTCGTCATCACACGCGCCATAAGCGTGGAATAGGCCATTGCTAGCTTGCGCCTTAGATATCGGAGCAAACTATCAAGTTATTATAAAGAAAAGCTGCTTAAAGTATCGTACTTCTGATTAGGATAACCACTCGACGAGTGTTAATAAGAGCTTGGGTATACCAAAAAAACGTTTACCTCACTATTGAATGATATGTAGTGGTGTTAGACAGAGTTGAGCTCATATTATCCGAGGCAGAGACGGAGTTTGCAATTGGGTTGATTGGACTAATAGTAGGGAAAGGAAACCCGGACTAACTGTGACCAAACTGGACGAGTACCTGGCGCCCTTGTGGTCATGGGCCGGTGTTCTAATTTCTGTCAAGTTCGCACCGTTTGGACATGATAAATTTTTGTGTTAGTTCTTCGACTTCCAGATAGGGACAGTTAACCCAAACGAAGATTTTGATATCGGAATACAGCGCTACCCAAATTGAAGACGGTCGATCCTGTTCTTCGGCGCTCAGCTAGCCGTCCTAGTGGTTGTATTCTTAAGAGTCGGCTGGGTTGAATACGCTGGGGTTGATGGGGGTAAAATACCTGGTATGACTAACGCGAGGGATACGGAGTTTAAATTTATTTAAGTCTAGACCGGTTGTATAATACGAGAAACTCGATCGGTTTTTAGTTAATGTAGTTGACCTAGCTGGACTTGAATGGCTGAAGTTGTTATGTCGTATTTTTAATTGTAATATCTATCGCGCCCTTTAGGGTGATTGTATTAAATATGCTAGTGTAATTCGGGTGGCGGCAGTCTAAGGAGGACCTCCGTTTGTAGTAAACGACGAGCCATGTTTTCAACACTGATAGCAAGGGGCTTCAATAGGACTCCCGGCTTGGAGAATCCAAGTAATTCTTGTATCCAAAGGATAAACTTGTTGATTACCTAAACAGCCAATGGCGGATGTAATATATCAGGGGTCATTATGGGTCGTGTTAATAAGACATAAAGGGAATATGGTGTGAATAGCGATATACATGCTCTAATATGAAAGTATATATGATATACCACACACTCCTCTAATGGCTGGACAAGTCGTCAACTGTCAGATGTCATTCTTGTTGACGGAAGATAAAATGGACTGAGTTTGTAGTTTCTAGGTTGGCAAATTGACGGCTGCGTGCATAACTCTTGGAGGTTGTTATCACACGTCCTCGGCTGCATCCCGGTGTAGCTATCCTGGTGTTGTGGTTGTATAATTGGGGAAGAGTATGCATGTAGTGGCGGAGCTGGGAGGGTTGGTAAATTTAGACTCTAGTGACGTCAATTGATGTGAGGCGGCTGATAGCTGGGGATGCCCGGAGGCTCCGATAGAGACTTGGTTTTACCGACAGAATAAACGGGATCTAGCAATCATGACTTCACTGACGAGTTCAACCGTTTCATTCCAGCACATAGGCTTTTTAGGAACAGAGAGATAGCTTCGCTTCGCACGTAACATCATGCTTTTATGGCCATTATGTGTGCAATAATGATGCTCAAATACATCTTGGGGGTGGGCTGGACACCACTAATGGAAAGGGAGCATACCAAATGATGCACTATGCACCCATGATACATACAAACATACTTAACATACCTCCTACATGGAGAGAGATAGCCTCGAAGCTACCAGCCACCAGGTGACTGGAAGACCCAATAACCTCTTCGTGTATGTGGGCGAATCGATTTAGAAGCTTTAGTTAAGAATTCTCAAAAGGTAAACTTGAGGTCGTAATTGAGTGGTTAGGAATCTCGGATGATGCCAGCCACAACCGAATTATTCCTTAATTGGGCAAGTGACTAGCTAGATGTGGCGTTCTTCACCTATGGGTTACCTCCATCAGCCTCCTTTGTTCCACTTCACAGCCGCCATCTCCCACTTTTCCCTTGGTTATCGATAGCTAATGGGTGTGGCGGTAATGTGACATCCAGCCATTGTGAGACATACACTTCAACCTAAACTGAGCAACTTTTGTAGAAACGTCAACCCTCGATACGCGTGTCGTGGAATACCCCGAGATGGCCCGCAAAATGCCAGACGCATGTCTACAGAGTCTTAGTTGCCTGTATGCATGCGTAAGCGGAATTCAAGGTAAAGTTTGTTAATAGAACTTGGCTGTCTCTTGGCCAAAGCAGTTATATAAGTGACTCGATCTCTATCCGGTCCTAACCACTCGATCATTATATACATATACGAGTATTAGATATATATAGTCTAACTGTTCTAAGTCCTCCTTATACATTAATAGCCAACATCTTCGGACACCATTTCTTAAGTTTATAACTCACTTTACTACCAACAGTTTAACATCCGCCAAAATGAAGGTCTACACAGTCATCGCGCTCTTTGCGGCTACTGCCGTAGTAGCTCAGACGGATAGTCAGACTGATAGTCAGACGGATACCCAAACTGATACTCAGACTGATACCCAGGATGCTACAGCTGCAGCTACAGCTACGGCCGCCGTAACCGCAACTGGTACGGCCGTCGCCCGCGCGACTAGCGATGGCACGGACGCCGCTACTAGCAGCAGCGCAAGTGATGCTGTTGTCAGCTCAGGCACCGACGCTGCTAACAGTGCTGTCAACAGTGCTACTGACGCTGGCGCTAGCGCTACTAGCGATGCAGTTGCAGAAGCCACTGGCAGCGATGTCGTTGCTGCTACTAGTACCGGTGACGCTACATCTCCTACCACCATCATTGTTGCTCAGAGCACAACCGAGGCGGGATCCTCTGCCGTGGCCGAAACTGATATCGCCAACACCACCGCTGCTCAGGAAGCAGGTACCACGGCCGCGGTTGAAACGGCATCAGCCGCATCTGGAACGGCTGGAACTGCTGTTGCCTCTGCATCCTTCAGCTCAGGATCGAATGATAATGATACTTTTGCGACCAGCGTTACCGATAGCGGAGAGGCTACTGCCACTCCATCTGGCCCTACCCACTTTCGACATCGACGATTCGTCTGAGACTTCAAGCTCAACTGTCGTGCCGGATGCCGGCGCTGGCGCTACATTCGGAACCGGCTCTAACAGCATGTTAGCTCTTGTCGCTCTAGCTGCGGCCGTCCTATTGTTTTAGAAGACGTGCACAACAGGTCTGGACTAATAAGTCCGGATGTGTGCATAACATCTATATACCGCATAGGCCTATCGCTGGGTAGCTGGAATATCTTCTATCTATCTGTTTATTACTTGTTTTAAATATTTCGATTCGTTATCTGTTCGCGCTCGCCGAGTCAACCAGGCTGGCCCTTGGGAGGCTGGACGGCTTGGCTGCTTTTGGTCATTAACTGATCTATTATGCCGCTTTCAATGGAATTAATCTGTTTTGGAATACCGGGAACAAAAATTATGGGTGGATGGTGGGGATAGCGGTCTTAGACGATTCATTGGGCCCGACCCGGCCCGGGAATTCCAGCATCGGAACGGCGTTGCGGCAACTATGCTCTGTATAAGCTTGTAATTGAACTAGACGTTGCGCTTGGGCAACACCGATTCCCCGCACAGATACTCAGACGCCATGGCTCAGAAGACGAAGCTGGCTAAGTTGGTGGTGTGCATACTTGAGAAACTGGAGACATAGCTGGTCATCATAGAGTTGAGCTGCTTTGGTTGGTTTAATTGGGCAAAGTATCTAATAGTTTAACGCAATAAAACTCGTTGATATTTACACATTTGACTATTCTAGCCCCCATGTTTAAATAGTTGGTATTTCGAGAACAAAACTATCAGTTACCAGCTCTAAAGCACGCACTCTTATTTAGATATTTATCGTTTCCTCGCCTACTCATCACGAGAAACAAATAATTGGTAACTCGTATAACATTCATATTTTATTATCAACCATTTTTTCAACTACCATAACAAATCAGATGCAATAATCAAATCAAAACGATAAACAATTCTTGTCTAATAGTAAAATATGCTACCAACTCCGTCCCATGCAAGATGCAAAATAATAGCTTCGCAACGCTGCGCTCTTCGTCGATCTATATGCAAGCCCCCCCTATTGTTTAGGTTGGGCATATCGTCTCTTCTCTTTCATCTATCATATCTCATACTACAGCTTCGTGCTCAAATTCAAACATCTAGGTAGGCCGATTGAGGTGCTTCGGCCGCCCTATATCAACACCAAAGTAGACACACCTACCACCCAAACCAAACCCAGCACATCCACAACCCAACCTCTACTCTTACTGCTCAACGCCGCATTCGGCAACTCCTTCTGCACGGTCGCCGTCGCCGTGCTCGCCGATAGCGTGCAGCTTGCCGCGCCGCAGTTATACCCGAGGGACAGCATCCCGCGACCGGCCCAGCGTCTCCGCCGCATAGAAACCATCCTGAAGCACATGTCGCGGTGGGCTGCGCGCCCGCAGCTGCCTGCGCGTCGGATGCGGGAACTGCGATGGTGACTCCGCTCGAGATTATCGTCGTCATGGGAGGTGGTGCTGGACACGATGTCGTGCTGCAGTCGCGCCCGGTGCGGCAGCATCCGCCGCCTTCGCGGGCGACGCATGCGTAGAACCCTGTTGGGCAGTAGGATGTCGATTCGGAAGTGGTTGCGGAGGAGGAGGAGGAGGAACCGCTTGTGGGTCGGTAGGGAGGGATGCCACCTGTTGCTGTGGTGGAACTGGTGGATGTGGGAGTCGCGCTGGCAGTGGTGGTCCTCGTCGTGGTACTAAGGACGGGGGCGCCGCCATCGGCGGGCGTGACGGTTACGATTACGGTTATAACTTGCGTTGAGGCGGAGGGGGTTGCGGCTACGGTGGTGGATGTTACCGTTGTTTGGGTGATGACGGAGACGGTGCTGTGGACGCCTGGATGTTTATGTCATGTTAGCGTTATGTGTCTACTTCTATTTTCTTCTTTTGTAGGTAGGTAGGCTCAAGAGTCGAGTAGGTAATATGAAGAAGACTTACACCCGACATCAGCGCATACGAACCCAGGGATGCAGCATCCACCCCTTGGTTCGCTGGGCAGGACGAAGACCCATCGGAACATTGTCCCACGGTTACGCCGCACGTTTGGCCGTCCGGACAGCATCCTACGTTCCCGGCGTCGGGGGCGTTCGTCACGACGAAGCACTTGGTTCCTTGTGTGCAGCAGTAATTCGGCTGATCGATGTTCTCGCAACTATGCGTGTTCTCGGGACACGCGAACTGGCGGCCTTGCAGCTTGGCTAGGACGTCGCGCGCACGTTATACAGGGACGGTCCTAAGTCTTCTTCTTCTCTTCTACTCTTCCTTTTGTCCCAGCCCTATGGTAGTCGTAGTGCAATGGGTACGGCGGACGGAACGGGATCGTGGCGGAGCTGTTTCCGGCAAGCAAGAGCTCTTCGTCGTCGTCGTCGCGGGGCTGCAGTTGTGCTGGCGCAAAGGCGTAATACTCTGGTAAGAACATCTCGCCCTCGTCTAGCGACATCTTCCGAATTGCAGTCGGATGCTGCTGTTGCTGCGCGCGGAGCTGAGTCGCGACGGTAAGGAGGACGAGGAGCGAGGGCGGGAGTCGGCTGAGCATTGTGTTGGAGAGGTGCATTGTCGGGTTAGGTGCGTATGAAGGTTTACCGTCTTTAATATTGGTAGTTGTAAGAAATTCTTCTCCTAATAATACCTAAGTCCTCTAGCCAAGTCAAGTACGTAATGTCAACTATACGTAGACATCTGGATCGACGATAATTCGTGGATAGAGCTACACGTTTTTCGAAGTCGTGCGACGGCACCAGTAGCCGTATCTTGTTATTAGTTTAACTTAATAGCCGAGATAATTGGATTAAATGAACCGCTTTGAGACGCTAGTCTTGTGCTACTTGACGAGTATTTATTCCGTCGGTAAGGCTGTTTTAATAAGAAAGGGGATTATTTTCGGATGGAACTTTAAGGATTATTATTTTCTCGGACCCAGTACAACAACAACAATGGACTTAACAGGGGTCGTTGGCCCAGCTGAGAACTTTCAAGGTTGCTTGTGAGGGATCGACATGGGTCTATCCGAGTTCTGGTTTTGACAACACATCGATGCCGACTGGCCGAATCCACGATTTCCTATTATGAAAACTTTAAGATTCATATATGTTTTTACAATGCTCAATATTTAATAATTAAATCACTTCTTGTTGTCCCCTACGTTAGGAAAAACTCCCAGGCGTAATAAGTTGATCACTCTCCCAAGTATATGGTAGAGACGTTCTAGAACTCCCGGTCCCTGCATACGATCGACCCTTTTTTTTAAGAGTAAAATGTAAACTCAATACACTATACACACTATACATCTACACCACCTTTAATACTATTTAATCGCTCAGGTTTCATCGTTTATTTCGAGCGGAGTAGTTGCATCTACAGCTGCTCCCATATTTAATTGAACTCACTGCATAGAATTCTCTCTGTGCCTAACCTAATGTATGAGATGTTTCTAAATATAGGGTTGAAGTTATCCCGTTGTCTCATTCTCATGCATATGCCTAAGAACCCAGTCCATAAAATCAGGATCGTCTCGTCAAGACATCCTATCCCTATAGTACATGATAGTCATACAAATGTCTCATAAACATTAGGCATCATATCCTGATAATGTTAGAATTATAGGTCGAGGCCTCACCACATTTGGTCAGATTCATTATCCTTGACCTCAATAACCTTATCGAATTCTCCTCCAACATACTGGTTCTTCAAGAAAGCGGAGCAAAGGATGGCCGTTGCGACGCTGACGTTTAGACTTTCTACCATGGTAGATCCTGAATGGTTTGGTATTGAGATTTCGAAGTCTGCTAACCATCTCGTCTTTCTATCAAGCCCCTCACCTTCGCTTCCGACGATCAGGATGTAGGTTCGGATGACAACGGGTCGTAAGTATCTAATCTGTCTAATGTGATGTTCTTACTTTCCCTAGGTCGACCGGTCGGTGCCACGGCGGCATAAACAACCCAACCAGCTTCTTTAGACTTGGTGAGAAAATCGAGCATAGAACTGATTGAAAATAGTCGTGTGATCTCAGATGCGCCAACGGATGCTTCACAGCTACAGATGTCAGAGTAGCTGTGTGACCTTTTGTAATCCCAATAGCGTTGACTCCTAGAAATGCTGCCGATCGTAAGATAGCGCCCAAGTTCCCCGGATCCTGGATGCCATCTAATAATAGAACAAACGGTTTACGGTTAGGTGGAAGGACATATTTGACAAGTTGGAAGTACCATTGACTTGCGCTTCTTCGGCGGTCTGGTGGGCTAGATCGAGAGTAAAGCCGGTGGCTGGTTCTTCGGTTAGAGGACCAAGGCTCCTGACTGGTAACTGTGGCAATGGAGAAGCTTCGAGGATAAAACCATTGTGAGGTCGACCCTCACTCATTTTATCATCATGCGTAGGCCAGCAGTGTCTTCTACTTTCTCGATAGGGATGCCAGCTTGGTTTGCCTTTCTCTCCAAGCCAACAATTCGAGGAGTAAGCTGTGGGCCATCCCCATAGTATATATAGAGTTTGTAAAACTTGCCGTCGCGTTTCCTTCAGAGCAGCTTCAACTACAGAATCCATACAAGAACTGTGATGCCGCGGTGGTACGTGGAATGCGAACGGGTCCATGATCCTTTGACGGGCTGGGGCGAAACGATATTTTCTCATAGTCCTTGACTTCTTGCCGTCCTTCTGAAGGTGGAAAATCGCGCTCCCCGCCGTTGAATCCCGGAGTAGTCCCCCGGTCCCGAATTGATTGAATAGGCTTCCTGGATTTAGCTGAACCCCTTTGTTCCCACGGCTTCGGTATTTTGTGAGGCTTGTCGGAACGGGGTGGGAACCCTGGTCTTTCCCCAAATGAATTGATTCGGGTGAAATTATAAGCTCCTCGCTCATTTGTTTCATTCCTAGGTGCTCGTTCCGAACCGAATCGAGACGATGAACGCGGGTTTTCTGACTTGTATGGTGTATGACTCCGAGGTCCTTTTCTGTTCGCTCCCATAGTTGCTGGACCCGAATTGAAATCCTTCATAAACTGAGCCTTTGATAGTCCAGTATCCCTATCATTACGGATAGATTTTTCCTTGTTATTTAGTTGATACACTAAACTTTTCTTCCCAAATGATTCCTTTGGATCATAGAAACGTGCTGCTCTCGACTTTGGTTCTGGACCCTTGTATGTAATATCCTTTTTGCCTTTCTGAACTTTGAAGGATGGTTTCTCTTGACGACTGTCCCTTCCATGCCGTTCTGTCCTGCTTGACCTAGCCGTATTCAAAGAATCTCTGTTAAAACCTTGTGGCCTAGCCTTCTCTGAATTGCGCAACCCGCGGTGGATAGCTGAGAGAGAGGAAGAGCGAGAGTGTACATTAACAGGCGTAGGAAAGGCCCAGGTTCTGAGGAGAATATTATGTTTACCTCGTATACACGAAGCCTGGAAGGAAATCATTGCATTTCCCTATCAGATTCTCTCAGTGGTACTTTACTGAATATAGTACCAATAATTATGAGCACATGAGCATGTGGAGGAGTTTGCAGCTCAATAAAATTTCGATGTACCTAAGTATATCTTCTAGACACTAATACTTATCTTATCGCCGATATGGAGCTACGTAGTGGTCCCTGTAAAAACACCCTTGTATTTGCGGCTGCAGTGGAACAACGCTAAACTGCGTTAAGGTTAAGTGCCTCGATTAATGCAACGCGTGAAGTAATTAATTCTACAGCGCGTTTTCAATTACCGACAACGTCAGCATGCGCCTAATTTATCTGTGATAGCCCTATTTATCGTTTCTTAACATCGTTCCTGTCGTGATCTTGGGGTGAATGTGATTATGGCTTTTCATAACTCTGTGCCGCCCTAGCAACTTGTTTGATTTTTAAAATTCGCGCATCGCAGCTGGCAACTACCAACTGTCAACCTAATAATAGACTGGTTGCTCCTCGATTTTTTTTTGTTGCTTAAAGCATCTCGACTCGACAACATGCATCTTCCTACTTTGCGTCTATTTCTGTAGGAATTTATGATCGTAATTCAAGATGGAAAGCGACCCGGAAGACTCGACGGTCTATACGGCCCTTCAGGATGACGTTGTCATGGACGAAGCGCGCGAGCTTTTTCATCAAGACTTAGACCGCGACGTACAAGATGAATGCGACTTGGACGACTTATATACGAAAGAAGCGTCTAATCCAAATGCCGGGGATAGGCAAGAGCAAGAACAGGAACAAGAACAAGATGAGGATATACCCCCAGCAACATCTCGACTACACCCTATTGTTGTAGTCCTTCATCCACCACCGGATCCAACAATATACCAACGAATATATCCAAGTCAGACTGTGGAGAGGATTCTAGACGAGATGGAGGATGAGGATGGCGAAATATTCTATAGTGTTGAATTCAAGGATGGGTATATAGAAGATGTAAGTGGTTTCTCTTTTCTTGGGATTCATATCTTCTATTTGCCTCATCCCCTTTATTTGTTTAGCCTACCTATGCTACTACACTGGACTACCTCTATGGATTACGACCTGCTTCAACCTTCACGCAGGCTACTTCCTTCGAAGATGTGATTGCCCCAACAACTTGCAAATCACTCACGCTACTACTATTACGTACCTATGAATAGTACAGTTTTCCTGCGCGTGCTACTTCCTCATAGTAGTTCACGTCTTAGGTTCTTTACTCTTTACCCCTAATAAAACTCTCACCCTTCCTTTTTACATCCATCATTCGATTTCTCTCAACAACAACCACAGCAACCATAACAACCACAAAAATAACAACCATTCTCATTTCCATTGATACTTTAGAACACTCCCACCTAACATATACCACACGAACCACACTTACACCTTTATCATTCCCTCATACCCTACTCTTTTCATCCATAGTCTTGGTGGGCTCCTTCTACGAGTCCGATCTAATGTGTACAGGCCAACCTTATGGTTACTAGGGCTGCTAGTACAGGATGGTAGGTTTCCTGAGGTGGCTACACGCGAGGCATTACATTCAAAATCATTCCTGCCTCGTCTGAAATTTATTCATGCTTTGTTTGCAAAATGTTCATATACATCACATCACATCACATCACTCTTTCTTTATTAATACACATGAAGACCACACTTTATTTTATCTCCTTATTTTCGAAACACCTGCTGATTTCTTTAAATAGGTAGCATATGATGATATGCTACAACTTAAAAACGGACCTCGCGCTGCGCAACAATTTCAAAGTCGAAGATTCAATATTAGCCAACTAGCCATGGGTAGACAACCGGGCAAGCGCCCTCCTCCCGAGGACGAATATTACGACTCAGAATCTTATGGTTCCGAGAATCCCCGGAAACGAAAGAGGACATCCTCTCGGCCTACTCGCAGAAGTACGCGACAAGCCTCTAAGCAGGCCTCCGCGCGAGCCTCTGTGGAAAACGACCTCGAAAATAATGCCTTTGGTGAAGAACCTGATGACATGCTATCCGACAAGGAGTTTGAAGATAGAAACCCTTCAAAATCCCGCAGCTCGGCTCAACTCTCTTCAACAAGAGTCACTCGCTCAAAGAATCCTGCGTGGCAAAGCAAGCATA